ATCGTTTCTATCTCTTATCTCTTGTTCATATGATCTCTTATTTTTCATATTTTATATCTTATAACATGTTCTTACATCATTATCTGAGTCATTGATATTCATTCATATATATATTAACATATATTCATGTACATCACATAACAAATGCCATAACCCATAACACACATTCTTTCCTGTAACACATACACACATTCACATATACCCTCATATAAAACATGTAACACATTTCTCATTACAACTTACATTTTATTGTTATCCTTTTTGGTTAGCCCATGCACACTACTGAGAACTTAAGGTATGTGAGTACATAGAGGTTGTGCACAATGTTGTCACCACAGCTCGTATAAATCTCACTAGGGGCGCATAGAATTTGTCCCAAAGGATCACGTAGATGTCCCGAATGACCACATATAACACATATGTCCCGAAGAACCGTGTAGACCCTCGACTCTTGGCATGCCAACTATACCTATAGCTCTCATAACACATGACATGGGCATTATCTTTTACCTCATTACACATTCACATATTCATATCACATAGTTCTTTCACATAGCTCTTTATCACATTTTATATGATCACATAGTCACGTAGTTTACTTTCACGTAGCATTTTTCCATGAAATTCACGTTATTCATCATTTTTGCACATGGTCACATCACATATACTTTTTTCTCATATGCATATAACATATTATTTCTTATCTTTTAACTTATATTATATATGCATGTAATCTTATGTCTTATTATTTTCATATATATTTTATCATCTATCTCATGATCACATGACCTATTATCATAAATACATGCATTTACATAGTTCAGATCGAATCTTAACTTGATAATCATTTCGGAATTTGTTCGTGCTCGATATCTATATAATCGTACATTGATATATATCAGTATCCAATTGATATATTCTAATCTATCATTTCTTAGACCAAAAGAAATGTCTATTTCAATTTCCCCTTGAAGTGCATCAATACATTCTACAGTGCATCGATGCATTCTTTAACATGTGCATCGATGCTCTACCTATGCATCAATACACCAATCACCTTCGATGTTTTCATTTTAAGGGGATGCATCGATGCACTTCTTATACATCGATGCACTAATTGCATTCGATGTTTCTTCTTTAAAGAGTGCATCGATACACATTGAATGTGCATCGATACACCTTGCCCATAATTTGCATTTTAAGCCCGAAAACCATCAACTTTTCACTCAATTCTTCTATTTTTAAGCCCCTATCATGTCATTAAACTCAATTACCATTACTTAAACCAACTTATATCCATATAAACCATCTTTATCTTTCATATCTCATCATGATTCTTAAAATTTAATAATCTTGCTAAACATTCAACTTTGTTATTAATTCTTTCTAACTTCATATATCTCTTATTCTTAGTGATGACAAGTCCAATTCCTTCTCAAATTTCACTTATTAACTCTTTCCCATAAATTCATCTAAAAACTCATTTTCTTTAATCTCTCTTATATCTTTCATTTTTGTTGTTTTAGAACAAATTAAGTTTTCCTTAAGCTTAATTATCATCTAATGATCATAACTCAACCTTAAAATCAATAATTAATCGACAAACAAAGAAACTCACCTTTGAGTCAAGCCTTCACGTATGAAGAAAGAAGAAGAGAAGAGAACTCTGGAACCTTTTTTCTCTTCCCACGTGATTTCCTTATCTTATAAGGAAAATAAAAAAATATTCCTTGTCAAATGACCATTTTGCCCTTCAATTCATCTAATAATTACTAACAACTTTTATTATTTATTTCCAAATAAATCATTGAACTAATCCATTGTTCTACTCTAGTCACCAAATTCTGAAACTTTACAATTTGATCACTAACCCAGTATTGAGGATGTTACAGAGTCTGAGGTGTCACATTGACTTTTCAAACATTTTTCTTTACAATAATTACTAAAATTCAAATTCATAATTCCAGAAAATGATTTCTTTGCATTAATTAAAATCAATTGATTTTACAAAACATATCAGAGCGTATTCAACTCAATTCTATTAGTATATGCCAACTATATTCAATAGAACAAAATACATAATCATATCCACTTCTTTTCTTATCTGAACTTCGTAAAGGAGATGTTGACCTTTCTTTCTCCTCTTAGATTCTCTTCTCGCTTTTCGGAACCTACGTGTGAAACACTCACACGCTAAGTTGATGACTTAGTGAGGCATATAAAAAATCCATTGTAAACTCTAACTTCTAACAATGCATGAATAACTAATGCTATCATATCATATGAAAGCGTATATTCTTTCTTATAACATATACACATATGCACATTTATCACCATCTACGTTTTTATTACTTTTGTATAGGTTATCATTAATCCCTTTTATCTTATCATCTTATCTTTAACACTCATACACATCATATCATATCATATCATATCATATCACCCAATAAACACATAACATCACATAGAATTTACTCAATTTGTATCTTTTAGATAGCCCATGTACACATGTGAAAACTTAATGTATGTAAGTACATAGAGGTTGTGCACTATGCTGTCACCACAACTCTTATAATTCCCACTAAGTGGCATATGAAATCTATGTCCCGAAGGACCTATCCATATGTTCCGAAGAACATAGGTACCTGTCCATATGTTCCGAAGAACATAGGTAACCCTCGACTCCTAGCATGCCAACTATACTTATAGCTCTCATATTATATAACATGGACACTATATTCATATCAATTCTCTTATGATCACATGTTTTCTCTCTTCTATCACATATCACATATGTGTGTATCATTCAATTTCATATCATGTAACAGGTGTTACTAGTATATTCACATGAATCCACTAACATATATCAAATCACACAATCATGTATATCTCATGCATATGTCTACAATGATCATTACATATGCATGTTCATAATTATAAGATTATGAAATCTAATATAAGAAATAGACTTATCACAAGTCTTATTTCCATCGAACTAAACATATAGTATGCACTCACCTGGTCTCACTAGTCAATACCGTTCTCTTATCTTTTCCCTTCGATGTCTAATACTTGTCGAATGGTCTAGACCTTACTCTCGATTGATATCTACACAATCATACATATAATATACATATCAACCTTCCAATTATCATAATTCAATCCATAATAATTCAAGTTAATTGAAATGCTAAATATAATTTCCTCTTTGAGTAGTATCGGTACCCCCAAGCATGATACTAATACTTCCCTAGCTAGGGTATCGATACCAAGCCTGGGTATCGATAACCAAATTACATTCGATATTTCCTGGTAATGATACCTCCTTTATGGTATCGGTACCTATGGTAGCGATACTACCTTCCCAGGTATCGATACCCTTTGAATGCCTTTGATAATTCTATACTTGAAGTATCGGTACCTGATGAAGCAATACCGATACTCTATGCCCATATTTCACTTTTTAAGCCCGAAAATTCACTCATTTCAGCTCAAACACTTTATGTTTCATCCCCTTTCATATTCTTAACTCACCTCCACATGCTTAAACCCATTAGTACTAATTTATCATATCCTTAACCTCAAAATCCTATCATCCATATGTAAATCAAGAATTACACCAAATTTTCTATATGTTCTAATTTCAATTCTAGCACTTCATATCTCTTAATTCAACTATTGACAAGTCAAATTTAGCTTTCAATTCTACTTATCAACTCTTTTCCAAGATTTCATTTAAAAACACTTTCTCTTTAATCTCTCATAACTTGTTCATCTTTGAGTTTTAAACCATTTAAAACTTCCCTTAAGCTTTCTTATCACTCTAAGAATCAAAATCAACTTAAAAATGAAAGGAAATCTTAACTTGAGACCAACTTACCTTATTCATGGTGCCACGGAAAGAAGAAAAAGAAAACTCCACCCATTTCTAGACTTTTCTTTCCTTTTTCCTCCTAATCCCCACGTGTTATATAGCCCACAAAAGAAAGATATAAATCTTTCTTATCAAATGACTATTTTACCCTTTTATCTTTCAATCTTTAGTAATCAATTATCCTCACATAATTTTTCAATTAAGTCCTTGAACTTTTAATCTTTTCTGAAATTGAATATAAAGTTTCCAAAATTTACATTTTAGTCATTAACCCTGTATTTGGGATGTTACAAAAGCCGTTAGTTTTATTAAAAATACAAATTATTTAAATTATAGTAGAAAGGCATTAGTTTTATTAAAAATAAAAATTATTTAAATTATGATGAAAATTTACAATTATAATCGTAAACTAAACACATGATAAAAACATTTTATTATAATCATTAACATAAAAAAACTAGTCACTTGAGATCATAAAAGGATTACACATAGAAAATGTTAGAAACCTAGCAAAATAAATTCGAACAAAAGGTATATATGAATATATATGATTGCATCGAACTACAAAAATGAATAAAAATAAATTGCAAATCAAAGTCGAACGACATGAAAAAATTATTAACGACTGGAAACTACGCATATAAATCCAATTCAAGGATATAAACAATTGATGACTAAACATATTACATTCTTAAAACCTCGGATATTATGATTAAGTGATGAGTTGAACAATCAGCACACCACGTCTCATTAGTAGGATCCAAGCACACATTAAACAAAAAACCCCCATACCCTATAGCATTCCTTTTTTTTTTTCTTAGGGTTTTCAGTCATTACATGCCATCTCAACATTTTACTAACCTCATCATTAAAATACATGAAATAAACACAGGGATGTTTCTTTTTCCCTACTTGTTGATAACGAAATTGTTAGAAACGAAACACTTTTTTCTTGTAATTGTAGCCTACCTTCGATCATTCCAAGAAGCGTAAATCTCGAGACCCTTTTCCTATATAATAAATAACCCTAAATAACCAATCCCCCCTCTTCTCCCGGCCGGCATCATTGTCATGCACATAGACCCCAAAACACAAAAATAAAACTTTTGGGGTTTCCTTGAAAGCCATGAACAGGCGATTCCAACAAGCTTTCAACGCTTTAAAGGAGCATACATGCGTCAACTATGCTAAATTAGCCACCATCGGTGGCCTCGGCAACGTTGATCTCATCCTCGTAAAGGCAACGGCTCCCACTGACTTGCCTTTGGCCGATAAATACGTCCATCAGCTTCAGAAGATATTCGCCGTTTCCCCTCCTTGTTGTCGAGCTTTCTCGCACAGCTTCGCTCGTCGTTTTGGGAAGACACGAAGCTGGCGAGTCGCGTTGAAATGCTTACTCCTCCTTCACCGGTTGCTTCGTTCGTTGCCCGAAGACAGCCCTTTTCGAACCGAACTCTTGATTAACCGATCCAACGGCTCCATCTCCTTGTACCCTTGTCGTTTCCAGGATGTTTCGTCGTCGAATCCCGGGAGTTTCACCATGTTTATCCGATCGTACGCTCATTTGCTAGACGAAGTCTCCAACGAAGATAATCATCACTCCGGAATGTCGGATGACAAAACGGAAGAAATCGGAACGGTTCTGGAGGTGTTGCGACGGATACAAAGCCTGATCGATCGAGTCATCGATTGCCGACCGACTGGTATCGCAGCCCGAAGCTTCTTGATTCAGACAGCGATGAAATACATCATTCGGGACAGCTTCGTATGTTACACCGTGTTCCGAAAGGACATCGTTCTGGTGTTGGAAAACCTGTTCCAGATGCCGTACCGGAGATGCATATCGGCTTTCGGGATATACAAGAAAGCAGCCTTGCAAGGGAATCAGTTGTGGGAGTTTTATCAATGGTGTAAGCTCATGGGAGTCTGTGGATCCTACGAATATCCATTCGTGGATCGGATCCCATTGATTCAAATTCATGCTCTTGAAACTTTCATCAAAGGAATGTGGGAACTAACAGATGAAGATGATCATCAATCCTCCTCGTCAACGCCTGAGAAGGTTACTGAAGATGATCAAGAAGAAAGGGAGCCATTGATTCTGCTTGATGATCATGCACATGATGAAACTGATAACTGGGAAGATATATTGGAAGCCTCAATTGTTGGATTCAACGACCATAACCATGGAACTAATGGGAAAGAAGAATGGAAGATTGAAGCTTATAATCCTTTTGAGTCTGCAAAATATGTTTTCAGTGACCCTAAATACCCATGGGGACTTTGATTTCAACATTGCACTTGGATACAATTTTCTTCATTGAGTTTATCAATCCATTTCATAACTTTTAAATTATTATAATAACAACATTCAAATAATTGTAATAACGATATTCTAACCAAATAAGTTGGCAAATTTGCTTGGATAATGTGATGAAAAAATGAGTTCTTTTTTTTAAGTGGTAGTGCAGATTTTATATGTTCAAAAGAGGTGGTTGCCATCCCACCTGGTACGACCACTTGGCCGGCTCCTCCTCCAAGACATTATCCACCTCATCTACCTGTTGCCGGCACCGGAGTTTTCCTACCTCCACCGGGCTTCGATAATTCATCACCTCAACTATTGCCAACTACTGGAACTGAACTCAACATTCCCTTTGACGCAACTTCCCCACCCGAAAAAGAGAATGACCCTCAGAAACCCGATCTTAACACAACTGCTCCTGGACAAGCTTGGATGGAAAATAGAGAAACCAAGACAGCACAGTAGTTTAGATTGAACCAGCAGCGGATGAGCTATGATGAAAACCAACAATAGTATCAAGCAAACCTGTTAGTGCAGTTGAGAGAGAGGCTGCGAACTGCGATGAGTCGAAATCCAAAGCAACTGTAAAGAGCAGTGAGACATACGAACATTGCGATACATAATACATGATCATAATGATATGATATATCATTTAGTGCAGAAGCTGCCATGTTCAATTATTGAAGCTACTCAAAGCATGTTTACTCTGACATTCGACTGATTCTCATTGTCGAACAAGTTATATAATATGTATCCAATACTCTCATCCGAATCGAAATAATATAAACTTCGCTGTCCCTCACCCATAGGTGAAAGGTGAAAACAACATCTCTCTGCTATGTTCCGTCGAGCTGTTCATCAGTGCTAAACTGGCACATCGAGCTTTGTCCCCACATGCCAAATCCTTTTTCATGGATGGCTGTCAGAATCACAGGATATATCATTATATCATGAAACCAGATGAAATTCGGGAAGTGGATTTTATTAGAAAAATGGTCCCCTCTACTGTATGCTGAGAATGGAGGAAAACAACCCCTTTTTGCCTTTGAATTCGTTCTCTTTGTTTCGTTGTTTATGTTTCGGATTCTGTTGGACCATGTTCATTTTGTTATATGTGGTTTGGATTTTAATTTAATTCAGTTTGAAAACACACAGTGTGGCTTGTTTAATAGAACAAACAAATTGAAAGAAATAAGAATAACTATGTAGAGATTTTCAGGTCAGAACTCATCACTAATTACGATTGGGGTGAGGATGGAGATCCCACGGTATGAATATCAAGATAGAGTTCAGAATTTAACAATATTTAAACTCGTTTCGTTTTATTTACACTCCAAGGGATGAACACGCATATGTAAATCTATATTTAAACACATTTTGGTAATTAATATTCGACTGATATTAATTTTTTCACTTTCATAAGAGCTCCTCCTTGATAATAACTTCAAATATAAATAATATACATTATGGATCTCAATATGCTACTACTACGTTACGAAGCCTGGCTACACTCATTTTTCTAGGAATTTCCCAGGAAAATTTTCAATTTTCTCAGCTCTCCAAATGCATTTGAAACTGAAATATTACAAGGTAGGGGGAAAAAGATGGCTGTTATTTTTCAAATGATTTAATCTTGGTCGAATTGCTTAAGCATTTGAGAAATGGTAAGAGTCTGAGACGGTGGAATTGGAGGGAGAGCAAGCTTTCCAATAAGAGGCTTCGCCGTTATGTGGTTGTCACAGGTGAGCATGTGATGCCTTTTACGTATCGCTCTTACCGGCGGCTCCGCCGCCGTCTCTGCCACGTTTCCGTTATTCACCATCTTCGGTTGCTCCGATCTCTTCCGCGAACTCTCTGCTGCAACCCTTTCTTCATGTCCTTTTCCATCCTTCAATAAACAAACTTCGAATATCATAAGGAAATGATTATTTTAAAGCAAAACCGCCATTACTGATTACCAATAATTGCAAAGTAAAAATGTAACGTACGTCCATGGAAGAAGAAGAAGAAGAAGAAGCAGGCATGGGGCATTTCACAGGCAGATCTTCATCTTGAGGTTCCATGGGATGTTCGATGGGCCAAAAGAAATAGATGTCGAACCCCACTGCATGTGGCTGCCGTAGAAATTCCATGTCCATTCCACTACCGTCGAGTCCCGGCTCCCTGCTCCGCCGCCTCACAGCAACTCCACTTTCCTTTCTATCGAGAGAAGAGAATTGTGGGGAGAAACAATAGGGAGTGAAGCTGAGGCAGAGAGGAAAATCTTCCTTTCAACCGGCGAGAGAAAGAGAAAGATGGACGGAAAGTAAAGAAGAGAAAGGGAGCATCAAAAGATGCACAATCGAAGACAGACAGAGAGACAAGGCCGTATGGGATCGGTTGTACAGTTATACACCATCAAAGGTCCCTCCTCATATTATAGTATAGGATAAATTACACCATATATAACTCAACTGTGTTTAAATGATTATTTTGGACACCAACATTCAAAATATTCATTAATTTTTATCAAACTGTTACAAAATGATCACTAAATTGATCCAAAAGCTTTAAATATTTCAAATTCATCCCTAAATTATGACCTTCATTCTATATTAGTCCCCAAATCTTTAGATGTTCTAATTTCATCCTCAAACTTTTGAATGATTTTGGGGAAAGTTATTGGAATGTTCAACACTTTGGAGGCTAATCATAAACAAAGGTCATAGTTAGGAGATATATTTGGAATGTTCAAAAGTGTGGGGATCAATTTAGAATGAGAGTCATAGTTTGAGGATCAAATTAGAATGTTTCAAAGTTTGGGGACTAATTTAAAATGATAGCCATATTTTGAAATATAAGGTGCAATTAACTCATTTTTTATTGATTTTTTTATTAGCAAAATTCAAATTTTAACCCTTTTTTTTCCTCCTCTTTATTTCTTTGTTAGGACTCTACGTGAGCTTTTCCCTTTTTTGTTTACTCTTTCCTCTATTGCTTTTAACAAACCGCAGCTGTAATTTGGTTGAAAAATCTTACCATTTCCCCCACTTTTCTGCTTTTTATTCTTTGGGCTATGTACAACTTGTAACATTCTTCATCATACTTTCTATCATTTTAGAGACAACACCATTATGCTATTAAAAAATATTTTATAAAAGTTTTGGGTTTTCTATGTCATTTTGAGTATGATTTAATTTTGATTCGAGTAAGAAAATAAAAACATTTTCAAGTTTGACACGACCTGATCTGCGTATATTTCATTTCATCCACAAAAGCTTACCATATATCTAATCGGATAGTGTAATTAGGAATTAGATAATTTTGGTTCGATCCAGCTAATAACATGTGTACATTGATGACACAAATAAGGGATCATATATTTCATAATATCATGTACCATACGAGTACATGAATCCCATAAAATATACTAATAACCCTTTATGTACCTAGTCATCCACTACATGTTACAACATTTTGCTCGAATATTGTATCATTCTAAATATAACATCTCTTATTTGATCTGAACGTTTAATCGAACAGATGATGTCATATTCAAGTAACAAAATGAAATCTAGGTTAATCGGATTTGAATCGAACATAAAAATCACCAAAATGAGAATGCAAATACCGTTTTACAATGAATTCAAAGTATCATGGGTATACAAACAATTCAAGCAAACAACAAGTATCAAATAGTAAATTTGCATATTTATAAATAGTGGCATTAATACTTAGTATTACGTCATCAATACCTTTAATTTGCTATCGATATCGTATAAAGGAACCCATACTATTTTCTCATTTTATGTTTATAAAAATAAATTTTATTACTGATATTGATTGTCTAAATATTAAATCGAGAGAGTATTGAAACGTATTCAAACTATTAATTTTTTTTATCAAAATAAACATTAATGGTTAGTTTAAACGTTAAATATTAGACATAAATCATATTAATAAAATAACTATTCTTTTGACATGTCAAATTTAAGACGCCCATGCAGTACGTCGTTTATATATGTTAGTAACGCATTTTAATTATGTTGGATTCGAACTGACAATAGCTTGTAATTGGTTGGAAAAAATGAGTGAAAGATCGTTTACAAGCTGGAACCATCTCGTAAGCTAAAATAAAGAGAAAAACAGCTACAAAGTCCGTAGCTGTTTCATTCTCCTTTCGAAATCTTTAGTGACGGAAAAGAGAAAAAAGAAAAATTATGGGGTTATGGAATAGGGTTTCCGTTGTTATCAAAGACAAGAACAGCATCGTTTTGGCTAAATTTTCCGGGAAAAATTCGTTTCGGTGTCCCGTTCTCGAGGCCGCCATCATCAATGCGACGAGTAACGATGACTGCCGCATCGACAAAAGGAATGCACAAATCGTGTTTTCTTGGATTCGAGCGTCAACAATTAGTCTACAGCCTCTCCTTTGGGCATTGTCTAGAAGGATGAAGAAGACTCGGGGTTGGGTCGTCGCCATTAAAGGTTTGATGCCAATGCATGGAATCTTTCGTTGTAAAGTCCCTGCCGTTCAAAACATGGGACGGTTGCCGTTCGATTTGTCGAGTTTTAGCGACGAACATCTCGGGCCGAACCAAACGTGGGGCTTCAATGCTTTTATACGTGAATACTATGCCTTTTTGGATCAAAGAGCCCTCGTTTAGTCGGAAAATGATAATAGAAAAGGCGACGAACGATCATTGATGTCGCAACATCTTTCGAGACTTCATGAATGGCAATCTTTGCTCGATATGTTGCTTCAAGTTAAGCCTCGAGCTGAAAATATGAAACTTGGTTTGATTCTCGAAGCCATGGATTGTATCATCATCGAGGTAAACGATGTTTATAGCCGAATTCGCATTGAAATCACAAAGCTTTTGTTGAACGTATACTCGGTCCAGAAATCCGAATCCGCAATGGCATCGAGGATTCTTCTAAAGGCGAAGAACTTGCATCGTTTTTCGAGTTTTGCAAGGAATTCGGCTTCTTAAACACCGGCGAAATCCTGACGGTTACTCGGATTCGGGATGAACAAGTCGAACAACTCCAGAGAATAGTCAACGGGGTTTTGGATATGAAGATCACATGCAAGGACGACGGAAGGTCCGCCGTTGTTGAGTACAAAGAAGAAGTCAAGGGAGCTTTGAAGACGACAACAACAGATAAATGGGTGGTTTTTTATGAAAATAATACAAGGATCAATAATGAAGAATATAATGAAAAGAATTCATCTGTTGAAAAATCTACACCACTCATTAATCATGTTCCACTTTATAATCATCGTGAAATTCCAGATCTCATATGTTTATATCACTTTACTTTTCAACAATTATAATGTTTCGAATTATATTTCAACGTGTAAAATTCATTAGTTTTATATAAAGATATAACCTTTAAATGAATTTAAATAGATGAGATGAAAACTTTGTATATTAATGTTATCATTTCTTGTGGAGTGATCCATTTATACTTTACGAACATAATTTTTTTATATTAACACTGTAATCTCTATAATTTAATGATAAAGTATGTCTTAGGATAAAATATTAACGGTGACGGTTAGATTGAAGTGACCCAACCTACTACATAAAAATAATAATAGTAAATTATTAAAATGTATTTTATTTTAATGTTTATATACTTTATAATTAATAAATTTTTAAAAGTATATGTTTTGATCCCTCCTATATTTAATTCTAATTCCAACTCAATGACAATTTTGAAAAGTACAAGTCATAAAGAATCTACGTCATTTCAGCGAAATAATTGATGAATCAAACTTGACTTCAGCAATGGTCGTCCACTAACGACTTCAATGGCGGATTAACTTCCGTTAGAAGCTACACTTAACGGTAGAAAACGCGTCTTCTTGACCAGCCCACATCGGAGAACTTCATTTTCTTCTATAAAAACTTTAACAAAAGAATCATTAACCAAATCCATCGCTATCCGATGAAGAAACCATCAGCTCTCTTTTGTTTGCTGCTCTTTGTACTCAACGAAACCGAATCAAGAAAATATCCACCCGAATGTTCTTCTTCATGCGGAGATTCACTCGAAATCCGTTACCCTTTCCGATTGACCGATGATCCGGTTGCCTGCGGTGATCATGATTTCCAACTTTACTGCCGAAACAACAGAACAATGATGAATTTCCACGCCGGATTATACTACGTCAAGCGAATTACCTACGACGATCACACGATTCACCTCGCGGACATTAATTTGGCCAACGGCAGTTGCGGTCTACCATACAGATCGTTATCGGTGGGGGAGATCGAAATGGATGATCATACAGGTCGGTTAATATTAGTTACTCGTATACGTTAAACTATGTTCGATGTTCTTCCAAGGATACCAGCAACTTGGTTGATGACAGCAGAGTACCATGCTTGAATCAGAATTCATCTGATGTTTATGTCAATGTGAGTTGGTCTCGGTTAACCTCGTACGATGTCCAGAAAACATGTAAGGTAATCGCCGCGGTGCCAACATATTACGAAGAACCGTTGCCGGATAACATCTCCTATGAATCGGCATTGAAGATGCAGGAATCAGGATTTCGGATGAGATGGTCCGTTGAGTGTCGAGATTGCAGAGCCAAGGGTCGTGGATGCGTTTATAAATCTGCAGATACAGATTTTCTCTATAAATGCGAAGCAGAATATGGTTAGTATTATTATTTTTTAATTGATTTCATCTTTTTGTAAGAAAAAATGAAATATGAGAAATTCGAACTTAAATTATGAAAGTAAAACCGGATCCAACTTGAGTCGATCAAGCTCGGATTTTTACCTTTAGAATCCTCATATTCATGAAATTCTTCGTTTCTAATGCAGATTACTATGCTGAACTTGTATATATATACACTGTTCTTGCAGCAATGGGCCTGGCTGGTAATTTCATTTTGTTTCTTCAATCGTTTCAACTCTAAAACTCCGTAAATGTGATGTTTTGATTGTTATTTTTATTATTTTGCTTTGTAGCACTCATTGGATTTGTCAGATTCATCCTTCTTCCACTGGTTATCTTTGCTTTCCTTCTCCACAAGTACTTGTCTACCAGAAACAAAATTGATTGCAGGTAAACCCGACAATTCGTATTTTCTCATATCATAATCGTACTTGAGTTCGACTTGACTCGATTCGATTACAACTCTAATCATATAGTCATATCGTGTTTGATTACAGGGAAGAACCTTCACAGATTCAGCAGCCATTTACACCAGAAAGGTTCAACTATACAGATGTACTTTCAATGGCAAACAATTTCAAAGACAAATTAGGCCAAGGTTGTTTTGGCACAGTTTACAGAGGGCAGCTTCCCGGTGACCGTGCCGTTGCCGTTAAAAAACTTGAGAGCATCAAAGGTGGTGAAGACCATTTCATCAATGGAGTTTCCATTATCGGTCAAGTTCAACATTCGAATTTGGTACCAAACCTAGGGTTTTGTTCCGAGGGGTCAAAACACGTTCTCGTTAACCAATACATGCCTAATGGATCTCTCGACAAGCATTTTTTCTCCGACGGTGGAAAATAGGGTTTGTTTAGTTGGGAGAAAATCTGGGAAATTCTTGTGGAAACGGGACGAGGGATCGAGTTCTTACATGGAAGATCCGAAGGTGGCATTGTTCATTTAGATATTAAGCCTCAAAATATACTGTTGGATAAGAATCTCAGACCCAGAATTTCGGATTTCGGGCTAGCAAAATTGTACCCGAAGATGCATGATTTCATGCCATTGTATGGAAGAAGTGAAACAACGGGATATATGGCACCTGAATTGATGATTTCAAGGGATTTCAAGGCCATGTCATGCAAATCTGATGTTTACAGTTTTGGAATGATAATGCTAGAAATGGCATGCGGAAGAAGGCATGGCGATGTCGATGCAATCAATTCAAGCAAAGTGCATTTTCCTACCTGGGTCTATGAACTAAATGCGAGGGGAGATTTAGAGTTAGAGAACCTGACAGAAAGTGATGCCATAATATCCCGAAAGTTGTTCATAATCGGATTATGGTGCACTCAAACTCGGCCATCGGAACGCCCCTCCATGACCAGAGTCCTGGAAATGTTACAAACGAACCTCGATGACCTGGAAATGCCTCCCAAACCAATCTTGGCTGAATACCTGCGTGAATCGGATTCTCCAAAAGAGATGCTGTTACCTGAGACAGTGGAGAGAAGCTCATAGTAATATCAAAGCATCTTTCTACAACAATTCTTTCAAATTGCTACAGTAACTCACCATTAAAGCTGTTCACCAGTCTAAGCTCTCATCCGTACTTCCCATGTACATGTTCTTCACAAAGTTGTATAATTAACACTTACCTATTTTAATGAAAATCTCCATCTTCTTCGATTCTTACAGCAGGTTTGATATGGTTTTCTTGTTCATTACTTCAAGCAAATCCTCGGTATTTTTTAACGACAGCTAAATTTCTCTCGAATTGCCATTACAGCTAAATCCTAGCCTATCGATGATGATATTACTCGAAAACACACACTCACACCCTCCTATCTAGGGATGACAATGGATCAGATATATAATTTTTTTTTAAATACAAATCCATTACGGATAGTAAATCTAACATATGAAAGATGTTGGAACAGCATATCAAACGATAAAGACTTTCAAACAAGTTTAAACATAAATGCAAAAATGTCAGTTAAAAGATAGCGAGGGAAAGCAGCATTGGCTGCCAGTCTTTAATCACACTTTCCGGGTCACTGAAAGGGGATTATCCGAACAAGATCCAACAAATAAAAACTCGTCTGCAACTTAAAAGTCTGTGACCGGAATAAATGGATGTTCTTAAAGCATAAGCATAAATGAAAAACTACAACGTTCGAAAGAACCACGGTGGCCACTTGAATATATACAGGTGAAGCAGACCATAAGTGATGGAGCTCAACTATCATTACCACGGAGTTTAAAGCTACCTAATAGTGACAAACTTGTTGGTACCATGTCTCGCCCAATGGCTCCTCAAATCAATCGGGTTACTGAAGTTATAATTTTCGGCTGCAAGTTTCTCGAGGACCTTCTTGAATGCCCCCTGACTCATTTTCCGGCCAGCTATCCTTGCACCACGCCTTTTGGTGCTCATTGGCAACGGATACATGGATATGTTCGTGGTACAACAAGCAGATTGCCAACCACCACAGCCCCATCGATAACACTGCTGAGGGGTTCCAGTGCATGAGCAAACCGGAATTGGAATGCCTGAAATATCCATGTTGAACCCATTTATTTTAAAGTCAATACTCTTCTTTGCTGGTTTCACACGTTGAACCGTAGAATTTGCATTTTCCTTTGGCTTCCTAGGCTTTTTGGCCTTCGGCATCTTGGGGACAGATCCATCCTGCCTTTTCCTCGGTTGAACACCATCCTTACTAGCTGTCGGCTCTTCGACTCTACTCACCACTGTCTCATCTCTTGTTGAAGAATCAGGAGGTAACTGCAAATTCGGCAATGAATGAGCTGTCGAGGTTTCAGGAAGAATGCCGTAATTGGGGGCGGTGGCCGGTAACATGCTGGAAAGCTTATCTCCTTCATTAATCCAACTATCCCGAACATAATTCATGGGTATATGTGCCTCAGAAACAACACAATCCCGTGGGTGAAAGGCTGCATTGGTAGTAACCATGAGATTGGGGTCACGCCCAGGAATGAAGGGCTTTGTGTCCCGTTCATCCATGCTTGACATTAGCTGCAGACCGAGGTGTCCTTTAAAGGACGGTTCATAGTAACCCCAATTACGCATATTCAACACATCTTCATCCATGAAGCTACATTTAGTCAAACAACACAACAGAATTATTAACCTTTTACCATTATTCAAATTATTCCATCAACGCCATTCAAAGACCAACGAATACCCTATTCAAAATAGAAGCTGAAACATCGAAACAGAATCTAAGGCTTCAACAATGAAATGCGTTGCAGTTACATGAAGGGAGATCATGGTCGGATCCAATTACATGATCAGACAAACAACATCAAAAAATTCAAAGAATGACAAATAATCTGTTTGATTCCCGAGGAAACAAATGGAAAGAAAATATGTTACATTTCTAACTCTAAAACAGAAAGTCCTACCTCCAATAAGCTAAATTTCAAGAGGGATTATCCACATTTTCGCACATCCAGTATATAGTAGAAATGGGGAAAAAATAAGATTCCAAAGAAGCAAAAATGGAAATCTAATGATACCAATATCGACAAAAATTGGAAACTTTCAGATTCAAACTAAGTTCTAATTGCCCGCATTTTCCCAACTTCCAAACTTTTCATGCATAAAAACCCATAATCAGATCTACTAAAAAAACCACAAAAACAATATCTTGAAAAAAATTGAATCTTTATTGCTGTTTTGGGATTTCAAATTGGGAACTTCATCAGAAACCTAGACCTAATTCAAAATCCCAGCATCAAAGCTGAAATCAAACAAACAAATAAATAAACAAAATATATTTATAGTATAAAAATTGAGTTAGGGACCCATAATTCCAAAAATTAGTTAGAAAAGGGAAAGCAATGAGAGATAAAGAAGCCACCAAATGGAAAATAAAATAAAAGGAATGAAAGAGAGAGGAAAGATAAAAAAAACTCACTTTGAGGTGTAGATGGATCTTTAGGGTTTTGCCCTTTCTGGAGAGAGAAAGAGGAGAGAGAAAACTCAGAGGAAAAATAACTAAAAGGATATAAGAGAGAGAAAGTGAAAAAATTAAAGGGAAACTATGAAAGAGAAAGGGAGAGACACAGAGACAAATGTGTAAAGAGATCAAATAAATAATTAGTGTTAAGGGTATTTTAGTTTTATATTTTTTATTTAATTGAATCTAACTTCAAAATATAGTACTATCAATTAACTTTTTTTGAATTATTAATAATAAAAGTTATTATCACATAGATATAACAATCAAATATGCTAATGATTCATATATAATTGATTAGTGATTGTTAAAATGATTCAATTTAATTGTTAAAAAGCTCAATAATTTATTTGACATTATCCTCATAAATCACATATGATTCATTAATATAATTTTATATTAAAATAAAACTAATTTACGAAATTTCTTTTCATGATTTAAACTTGATGAAGTTCTATTTATACCAAATTATGAGTATTAATATTATTTTGGAATTTAGATTTAGTAACAAGACGCATATTGATTTGAATTTTTATATGATTATTTAATCAAATATAATTTATTTTATTATTTTATGCGAATATATTATTAAGAAATTAGATTTTATTACCAAAAGAGCTCAAACTAGTCAAATTTTGCTGTAACGATACTTTAAAAAAATCAAAATTGAGATCTAAAATAAAACTTATGAATATTTTTTTAGTGTAATTTTTTTCTCATCATTTTTAAACTATATAAGAATAACCTTAAAAGTTATTGTCACTCTGATGTAAATAATATATTTTAATTTCATTAAAATATGTTCAAAGAACGGTAAAAGATTTAAGTTGACGAGAAATAATCGAATATTTTTATGATATAAATGTTTAAAATTGTAACGTTTTATAAGTATTTTAAAATTTTGATTATTTTATATTTTATTATTCGTCAGTTTGTGACATTTTTTAAATTTTGAATATTTTTAGTTTTAGTTTTTTAAATAAGGTTTTAAACTTTGTTTTCAAATTAAATTATTTTTAAAAAAAAAATTAATTAAATCCACCTTCATGCCATTAATCATATATAGACGGTCATTTTAATATCGTTAATTAATAGTATTTAATAATAGATTTTATTGATAACAAATTTAATTAATATAATTTTTAGGTTCGATGACTCAATTGAGTGCTTTTTTAGTAGAGTGATTTAATTGATTTTTTAAAGAAATAATCAAGAGAAAAAATACCCTTTAAGCCAAAAAAAATTGATTTTTGATATCAATTTGAGCGAAAAAGGAAAAAAGTTTGAATAATAATTGAATAAAAAAGCTAAAATGCACTAAATTGAATCTTAAAATAAATTTTATATACCTAAATAATATATTAAATGTGAAATTCAAATACCAGAAAATATATTAAACCTTTGTTAATTACTATACTTTTTTATTTCTAATAATTACATTATCTTCGAGTTTCTGCGTTACAGCTATGAAAAGGACTTGGATCACTCTGACTTCCATAAGTTGCTTTGCTTCCCATCACATTGAAAACGTAAACGTAGTAATTAAATTTTGTCCCTCCAAGTTATTCACAGATCTACGTATGAACGTGGATGGATATATAATATGAACTTTTTTATTAATTATTTTTTATTGATAATATTTATCTTAATGTACAATTACGCTCATCATGTTAAAAATTTTTATGTTAAGAACTTATGTATACTCACACTAAAAATATTATTGGATCTGTCACTAAACCAAATGATACAATTTTAAATATTATTTAAATAAAAATTGAATTTTAAATGTAATAAATGAATATATATATATATATATATATATATATCAATCCAACACATTAATTACCGAACACTTAAAGTTTGTAAAAATAAAAGCTAAAATTTATGTGTGGTGGACATTAGAGGTGCAGGTAAGAACAAAGATAGGATAGGAACATTTTAGGTTTAACCATGTTTCATGCTCATGTCGGGGACAAGTCAATGGTTAACTACATCAAATGTCCCCAAATCATTGTGCAGATTTTAAACTAATATCTAAATTTTAAACATTTTTATTTGAGTCCTCAAAATATCAGTAAGATATTTTCATCTATCTAACCATTAATTTAGACATCCAATACCAATCTTGATCTATAAATACAGGAAGGAAGACGACATGATTCATTCCTTAATACTTTCCTCATATGTTCTCTAATACTAGACCCTACTCGTTTCGAGTTTCCTAACAAGAGTTTTCAGAAAGGTCGAACATGTGTTACATTTTATTTTGTTTGGAATTTGTATTTGATGATCTAATTGAAGGTGGGACAAGCGTCCCTCATGTCTTAATGGTTAAATATAGTGACAAAATTGTGATGCATGGGAAAAGAAGGAAATAATACAAAGTCATGAGATAATATGCTGCACCTGACAGTATACAAGGGTGCAAAAAGTTCCCCTCCTAACATAATGCACATAACATCAACAAGAACTTCGACATTCTCAGAAAATTTTACAAGTTCTATCATGTGTCTGCAATGAAACTCGAAGTTTAACCCGATTGGTTCGTCCAACCATCCAACATCTTCCATGAAGTGCATGCACTGAGACTCCAAGTTCAACCTAACTGATTCATGCAATCACCTTTATATAACGGCACCCACAAGCTTTGGGGTTCGAATTCCAACGTCCTCTATTAAGTGAATGCAATGAAACTCGAAGTTTAGTTCAATTGGTTCAGGAAATTACCTTTGAAAAATGACATCTAATAGGACCAAAGATCAAATTCCAGCATCTTCTATTCAGTGCATGCAGTGAAATCTCGAAGCTTAACCCGATTGGTTCATGCAATCACCTTTAAAAAAATGGCATCCGACAAGTTTGAAGTTTGAATTCCTAACAGATGTAACTTTTTTCTTGTATCCTCAAACTGCAATTTTCTATTGTAAGCTCTTACGACAAAAACAATGCCTCCAAATAATCATCAATGTAAGCTAAGCATGGCCAGTGATCGGTTCTAATACGAACTAAAGTTGAAGCATCACTTACTTCCATTTGGAACAAGAGATGGAACTTTGGGGGAAGGAAAATCAAGACATGGATGCAACCCATACTTCTCTTGCCGATGTTTAACTGACTTTCCTGCTCGTCTTCATTTTCGACAAAAGTAAGATAGAGGGGCATAGTGTCTTGATTGGTAGCCGAGGTGGTAGCATCAAGCAAAAGGCCTGAGACATCATCTTTCCATATGACGTCCTTGATAATTCCTCTATCCTTTACCATGTTAACAAGGCGCTCACCACTTACGCTTACTACAAATGGTGCCAGATAACGTTCGGTAGCATGAATTAGAGATTCTGGAGGAATTTCAAGCAGCTTCACAGATCTCGTTCCATTGACAGCCGCAAACCCCTTGCCATTCTTTAGAGAGAAAGCCTCCCGCCCGGTGTTGGAAGTAGTGCCACATGCGTCCCACAAAGCATTGAACAAGTCCGAGTAATAATCAGGTAAAATATCCTCCCGGATATCTGGTGGGGCGATAGCTTTGAGAAATAAGTCTTCAATGCCCACCATAATACTTTGCAGCTGGCCGGTGATGATCTGACCATCTTCCCCGTTTGTTTCGATGAAAACATCAACCACACCAGGTGTTGGCTCACGTGGATCCAGCTCAATCATTGCAGGAGCTTTATAGATCTCTCCACCAAAATCATCATGCTTAGCAACGATGTCTAGTGAATCAGTTTCAGCAGGTAAATAACCACTCACCGGAGGTTGACCGAGAAGAAAAGGTATGTGACAAGATGGTATAGATCCATATTGAGCCAGTGATGAAAATTTCAACACCGTTGCATATATGGCAGGGAGGGCATCTACACCATGAAACCCATTCTTTGAGGACTCACCTCCCCATACATGATTGAAAGGCTCTGACTCAAATCTCAAATAGCATGGAATTTTAACCTTAAGCCCTGGCATATGTCTAAAATCAGGAATACACGAGAAATGTCTCCTTAATCTCTCTAAAATCTCCGAAACTTTTGAGTCCATCACATACAGTGGTGCCTCTGGTTTATCAATTCTCTTGTCTTCTGATATAGTCTGAAATTGAATATTGGCATCGAGCTCTCTTTCATCTGTCGAGGCTTCAGTATCCCTAAAGCCACCTGAAAAATCCAGTTTGCCACTCCCAACCCCTATAGGTAATAAAGACAATGACCAAGATTGCTTGACAAGTAGTGTTATCATCCGTTCAAGATGGATATAGGATGAAATGTTCTTAGATTTCTTGACATCCGGATAATGCCGAGGCGATGGCACATTGAAGAATGATGCAGAATGAGATGAGGGGGAAATACCAAGGAGTTGCTCTCCAAGGTTCATCATTCCTCTAAGCTTCATTCCGGGAACACAAATCAGCATCCTCAAGTAGATCCTGTAAAATGACATGACAGAAAATAATCAATAACTTGAGGCTCCTTATAGTTTGGACTATTTTTCTTCCGTTTGGGTTGACATGGAACTGAAAAACTTAAAAAAGGAGTAAACAAAGCCACCTGTTGAGTCAATCGAATCAATGAAATAGAAAAGAGGGGGGGTGGATTGGCAATTAAAAATATTAATTAATTTTGGTATATCAAAATATCGAAGTATGTTTCAACACTTCCCCTTCATCATACCTTGCATGGTCACGGACCTCCAAATCGGGGAAGTAAAGGCAGGTGAATGCAAGGAGACGGGATAAACCAAGGAATAATCGAGAACTCTGATGGTGGGTCAGCATGGTTCTGCAAATGCCAAGGACCCTACTACCCTGAGACCAAGACTTCACACCAGTGTCCGGGCCATGTTTCTCAACAAGGAAAGCCATGAATTTGGTTAGCAGATTTAACAACCTACGTGGAGGTATTGTTTGATTTTCAGCAATTCTATCAAAAATTGGGAAGTACAAAACTAGTCTATAGTCAATTACGACTCTAGAATGAAGATTTGCATCGATTGTTTGAAGCAGGCGCTCTCCCAACCAAAGATGCTTTTGGCAGCCTAACAAACGGTCAATAAAAGCAACAATGACAGGGACCAATCTCTGAAACTCCAGTATCAAGTCAACCAACATCCCCTGAAGAAAAAATGTTACGACTATCAGCATAGCCCATAGGGGTATAGTTTTTTGGTTCGGTAATTAGAACTTAGAACATATAAAACATAAACTTCAGGTCCTCTGATTCTGCATCAATCTTTGGTGCCATTGCCATATACAAATGCCATCACAACAATTATAAGATCTATATGATAGTCTATTGCAGACAAAAATTATGGTTATGGACGCTTGATGTGCTACGTAGATGTAAATTAGACACACTGAGGCATAATTAACGGAATACTTCTGCATGAGGAAGGTTAAACTGGGAAAAAGTAAACACCTTCAAATGATTAAAAATGGTGGACTCCATAAGTGCAGTTGTGGTGGAAGGATCAGCATCAGAATGATAAGATGCACCTATCAAAAACTTATGAAATGTGTGGAAGGCCACTGCGGTTTCAGTGCTCCAAGGAGGCATCCATTTGAAAGCCGAAACCGATACTAGACCATCTTGAAAGAGCTTCACCACTGAATTCTCGTCCCCAACAATCATATCCGAAACAGTTTGAGGTTTCAACGAATCAATACAAACAGAACAAAAGGCAAGTAAATCTAGCTTAAGTGCTTTGAGCGAAAGTGGATCAAACACACTCGGATAAAACCTGAAACCCATCTCTACAATCAGCTTCTTCTTCTCCGCATCTTCTCCATTCACCATCAATCCATTCAAAAAACCCATCAACCAATGCACCGAAAGCAATCGGATCACCAAATACTGCTGCGATTCCAATGAAAACAACAAAAGTCTCCTGACAATCTCCGTCTCCTGCTCATTAAACACCTCAGAAAAACGTGAATACATAATCAAAACAACATGATACAACAAGGGATCGAACGAATAAATCATCCCGAAAAACTGAACTTTCAACATAGAAGGCTGCAAATCCAAATCCACTGCTAATGGCATTATCATCCCCATAAAAACCATCATCCCACAAGGAGTTAAAACCAGCGGCCATTCCAACAAAAATGCCATGGCTCTTCTCAATTCCTTATAATTCAACTCTAATAACCCTTCATTTTCCGATCCTAAAACCCATTGTGGTATATTAAAAGGAACCAAAGGCACCGAAGTATTCAAAACAGAAACATTCAACTTTCGATTCACAACATTATGAATTACAGTTGTAAACAACAAAATGTAGCTCTGCGAAGCGTGGGTACGCTCGCTTTGGCATAAACTCCATAAATGACCAGCAACATCGGAGAGTAAACAAGTATAAGCTTTTTCCAACTCACGTAAACACTCACAAGCAATAGCACGCGCGTGGCGGTCCGGTCCATGGTTCGGCCGGTTTATAACAGCCAGCAAAAGCTCGACCACGGATTCTGTCAACCGAGCCTGGACGGACTCGACGGAGTTAGTAGAGATCAAAATCGAGGTCGTCGAAATCATCATCTGCTCTTTCAAAGCGTAAGTGACGTGGACGCCATCGATCGGAGATTGCACGACGGTGCGTAGGGTTTCAACGAGGCGTTCCAAGAGGGAAGAAAGTGAATTTGGGGGGAACAAGAGATCGGAAAACTCTTCGAGGAAGATTACGAGGGGGATTTTGAAAGTGAATTCCTTTTTGAGGATTGAAGAAAGGGCGAGTTCGGAGATGGACGGGGAAAGGGACCACCATTTCTCGCGGCGGTAGCCGCCGTGCTGGAAATCTTCAACCAAGGATTCCCAGTCTTGAGGTGAAATCGGTTTTGGCGGTGGTTTTTCAGCCATTTTAACTTCAATGTTTGCAGAATTTTGACAAAAAATCAACTAGATTTTAGGGTTTTGAGTTGAAATAATAGGGAAATTGAAATAGCATTGAAATTTTGTTTTTGTTTTTTTTTACTGATCAAAGTTGAAATTCAGTCGACATTTGCAAAACTGACAGCGAAGAAAAGGCGCTTACAGACAGACGAGGTTTCCTAATACTGTATTATATTTAAATAGTTAAATTCTCGTTTCGGTCCTTCTCGTTTTCTGGGATTTGAACTTTGGTATTTTCAATTTAATTTATCACTCCAAATTGCCAACATCATCACATTTGATTAACATAAAATTTACATCTTAATCGCATATTTGATATTTTTGTAAAATAAATTCAAGCCAAACTAATTAATTTCGAAAAAAAGTATACATGTTTATTAAAAATTGCAATCAACGTTTTAAAATAAATGATTATTGGAGTTAACCATCTAAAGTGTGTTAATAATATTGTTAAAAAAATCAAATTATTATTAAAATATAAACACTAAATCTTTAAATCTTTAACATAGTAGAACGACCAAAACTAAATTTGGCATATTTAGATAAAATCGATTACGCTAAACATCTCAAAATATGGTTTAAATTTTAGATTGATCCTTAAATGTTGTAATGTTTTTTTAAGCGTTAAAGTATCATATCAATGTTAGTTTGGGTCTAAAATATAGTTATCATATTCAAAACAAGAAGTTGAAGTTTTAATTTTCAAGGTATGATCAGTTTTCTTTTCCATTTTTCTTATTGTTTTGATCTGTTTACAGCATGGAAGTAGGTATTGTTCCGGTTCCGGTTGGTTCCAACCATTCGGATCTCCGTCCGTTTCGGTCCAGCATGGTAGTCGGTACTGTTCCGGTAACGGCCAGTACCTACCGTTCTGTGTTTCCATCTGTTTTGCTCGATACTGGCAGGGGCAGGGAGGTGATTCACCCCAAACATGGTAAAATTGCTGTATAGATGAATTAATACAATGGTAAAATTGTATTTTGATCCCTCTAAAAATTTTCAAATCATTTATAGCCTCTATGCTTTTAGTCATTGTTTAATTATATTTTAAACCACTGGTAATTATTGAAATTAAACTCTATTTTCTCTCAATATTTTCTGATTTAATTATTCTTTCAAGATCTTTCCAGTTTTAGAATTAACGAAATTAGACCTTTAGTTTTTTATTTATTTAATTGCTTTTTAAGACCTTTAACTTTAAATTAGTAAAACTAAACCCAACTCCATCAATATTATAATTTAATTGTTATTCTAAATCTTATTTGTTTGAAAGTAAAACAATTTAATTGTCGTAATTCAATCCTAAATTGGTCCTTCGTAGTAACAACATTTGATTTGACATGATTGCAGGGGTTTTCTTCATGTTTGAGCTATGGGACTTCACCAGATCCATCGAAAAGTGTCTCCATTGAAAAGGGTCTCCAATGGGAATCTTTCAAGACCCGCTTAGCTTCTTCCTAGCAGGAAGGTCAGGTCCAGGAGGTAGAAATGCAACGAGAAAATTGAGAATCGATTCGAATCATCGTTTTCAATTTGGTTTTTTATTAAATTCATTAAACAAACCAGATAATTCGGATTCAATCAATTCAATTTCTAACTCATATTTTGGTTGCTCACCCCCCAAAGGAAGACAGCATCACCATCCCAGATTAATAAGCAGCTATTAATGAATAACACAACCAACACATCTCAATACAGGAATATTAACAAACACACTAATAGCAGATTACATATATGAACTGCTAAAGAAATCCCAGGATTGAGTCAACGATGACCAACGAAAATCCGGAAGGAAAAAAAAAAGAATCTACCTATACAAACACACAATCACTAGCCACCCGTGAAAATCTATCATAATGTTTGCCCCAAAGGTTAATAGTTCCTTTTATCTGTTCTTGTTTTTGGCTAATCTCTAAGCACAGGAATAAGCAGTCTATGTTAGAAGCACACCAATTTGATTTCTTCCTCCGTGTTTTACCGTCTTTTTCCTGGATTTCTTCTCTAAAGATAGTAGGTTCGTTGGCATGCAAGTTATAGAGGAAAATTTATAGAAAAAGAAAAAGGAGACTTTGCAAACATACTAGTTGTTTGATTCTTCGATTAAAATTTGTCGTTATTGAGTGCTGCGTGTTAACCCGCTTCGAGTCACATTTCTGCATAAATAATAGAATCTGGTTAGCTATATTGAGTATTAATATTCAGAACATACTACCAATGTAATCAATAAATACTGAACTAGCATGGTGACAATTATACATTATTGGCCTCAGCAAGTCATTGAAGATTGATAAGCTGAAAATCAAAAGGCAGAAAGTGGATCCATTATAACTGATCACTACAGCTTAAAGCTATGTTGTTCCGACTCTTCATTTTGTTTGAAGCAACTGTGTCTGACAAATATTTGGGCATGTGTTGAATACATGCACATTTACCAACACTCACACCCAACTACCCGAATCCAAATAAAGACTTGGTGTACCAAATTAAAACGAAAGTACATCAGTGATCTTAAAGTACCCTATCCAGAAGAGTATGTAAGAATCCCCAATAAATCTATATAATGTCTTGCAACACATATTCGAACACCCTCTAAATTGCATGTAGAGATGCTCCGTATATTATTTTTCCCAAAGGAAAAGGCATTGATCAGCATAGGCATTCAGTCCTAAGCAACAGAATGACATGTGTCAACTTACTAGGATATGAGTCCAGTATCTTTCACTAAGATGGGTTTTGTACATCCTTGGAGGGTCTGGGCTCATATCCTACGAACCCATGTCAGGATATGTGTTTGACACAGATGACAGACACAAGTACTTCAACAAAAATGAATAGTAGTAGTAACATAGTGTGATACCATGGCTGCTAACTCCACTATTTATAAAGGACAAATGCAAAAAACTAATAGGGAGACTTGTTTGAAATTAAAGTGATACACGAAAAAGAACATTAAAATCAGAACAACTATATAAATAATAAAAGCACCTTCCAGTAAGCAGCTGAGCAGCCGATCCCTTGGAGTTACCAAACCGCTTGGCCCTGTTCTCATGTTCTTTCTCCACTCGCATGGCGGCAACCTCTTTCTCCATGGCAGCTACTTCTCTTCTCATCTTTTTAGCCTCAACTTCCATTGCCTTTGTCAATGTTTCCACTTTCTTAGCAAGCATCTGAAAAATACAAGGATTACAAGGGCATTTATCCGGTACGATGAATTTTAAATGGTCTTAACTCGAAAGAACACGCATATCTACCTCAATTGCATCGTCCTTATCTTTAAGGCTTTGGTCTTTCTCCAGACCAGCTTTCCTCAAAGCTATAACCTCTTTCTGCAGCAAATCATACAATACTCCCGGAACATTATCCTCAGTGTCTACTGGCTGGAAATCATTTGTTTTTTCATTACTCGGTGCCTCATCCTCCTTGGTTCCTTCAGAAGGCCGGTTTAATGAAGAATTTGAGCCGGTTCCATTTAAAAGCACTTTAGCCCCATCTAACGATTTCGTGCCTCCATCAAATGATTTGGATGTTCCTTTAGCATGCTTCAACACTGTACTAGAAGACAAAGAGGGTCTCAATTGAAAGCTTGGTGATCTCTTGAATAAAGGTCCATTCGATGTAAGCTTTGAGTAGTTATCAGCTCCACCAAGAGACTGACGCCTAGATCGCCCGTTACTCATGCTTCTTCCATCTGATGTATTGCGACTAATGCTGTTTGAAGATCCTCTCAAGTTTTCTTCTAGAACTTTAAGCCGCAATTGGTATTTCTCCTGGAAAATCAGAGAAAAGCTCTTATTCTGAAACGAACAGCATCAACATAGATAACAGAATGGAAACTATCACAATCAGATTATTACTTTCAACTGTGCTTCTGATTTTGCAGCTCGCTCGGTTATAGCAAGCTTGTCACGAAGTTGCTGCATTTCTCCCTGGAAGAAATTAAGTCTACAATTAATAGAAAGTATAAATGCAAATGCCTGTAGTTTTATTCAATGGGAGAAACTCTCCACAAAAACCTGCAAGAATCTTCGCTCTTCAAGCCATTGTTTTACAGGCATCACTTTGTCATTAGCATCTTTCCAGTCATTTGCGACAACTGTGGCCACTCTATTAGCCGTTACTTTTGCACGTGCCAGCTCCCGATCAAGAGTTTTTCTTTCCTCCTAAGGAACACAAAATAATCATTCATTTTGAGAAGAGCTTTAGGGCTATATCAACAAAAAGGAATCAGACAAACTAGGACACGTAAAATCTGGGCTTTACATTCATCTCCTGAACTTTCCGTTGATAATCTCGAACTGCATTTGCAGCAGCCCCACCAGAAAGAACAGCCTCTTCCAGCTCCCTTACAGTTTGTGTAAGCTTTTCGACCTCTGCAACCTTTTGGCGATGCATTTTTTCCAAAATTTTGTTTTCTTCCTACCATAGACAAATGGTAAACATGTGATTTCTTCATTTATATAGTTAATGGACTAAGCCAAAAATATATGGATCTAAAAAAAAGGAAACACCAAGAATGATTGGAATACCTGGCAAATTTCTATCTGCTTCATCAACTCCTGGTTTTTATTTTGGAGGTCATCCACCATGGATGCTTTGGCCAATGCAACCTGGACAGTCCTTTCCGCTTCTAGTAAAGCTGCTTCTTTTGATTTAGTCAGACGATCAAGGGCTTTGTTATCATCTTGAAGCTTTGCAATCTGCAAAAAAAACAAAACGCCAATTAGTAAGAAAATAATCAATCACATATGAGTTTAAAAGGCATTCTATATTTTCTTTGTGAGAGGGAATCAACAGTTCAAACAACATATGAAATACCTCTTGCCGAGCAAGCTTCAGCTCAGCCTCCAAGGGTGCGAGAATTGCTTCAATTGGAGGCATATCATCATCCTTTTGAGCAGAATGAACTCTCCGTAAAGTCGCCTCAGCTGCAAACTGAGCAGCCATGGATGCCTTCTTCTCTTCATTTATTTTCTTGATTTCAAGGTTCTGCAAAACATGTTTATGAACTAAATTTCTAAACAAAGAGACATAAAAATCAATAAGGTTGAAAAGGATTTGAAACCAATACCTTGCTTTCAAGAAGAGATTCTGTCAATTTAAGTTTTTCTGCCATTTTCGAGAGCTCATCACTGAGCTATGGTACAGAAGAAAAATAAAAAAAGTCAGTTCCATCTCAATCACAAAACACGTTACGAGAATTCCAAGTCAGATGACCACATAAAACCACATTTCAAATCAGTCTGACACTGCAAACCGTCGTAAATTCATATGAACAGATTTACTACAAAAAGTTCAATAAATAGACTTTGATGCAAGAGCAATGGTCCACAAAGAAGAGCCGTTCCACAACAAGACTAGGGATAGCTCGTAATAAGCATAAATAGTAAGTCATAAAACAACCCATTTGGCCATGTGATCAAACCCTAAACCTCCACTGAATAATTAAATATAGGAATAAAATGTGAAGAAAACGCAAAGGACATTTAAGTCTGATAGGAAAACTATGAAATAAGTTCTAGATTAGAGGTACACATGAAATCTTGTAACAGGTTTGACAGTTAAAAGACAACAAATTAACAGATAGGAGCAGAGCAACCGAACAAATGCAAAACATTGAAACTACTTTGTTGTAAACTATAATTTTAAAATTGATAAATTAGGTACTATAAAGGCAACCAGACAATGAAATCAGATAAAGCATTGAAAGAAGATTCATGTTGTTAGATGGACAGTTCATCACTGATTTTCTAAAATTATTAAGCAACAAATAATGATTATGAAAATTCCACCCAGCATGACTTTGAGAGAACAGTTATGTATTTAGGTGCTCGGATTCCTCATTTTCTTCAAGTACTCATATCTAAACTTGTATCCAACACATTTGAACAAGGGTACAAGATATGATCCTCTAAGTACTCTCCAAATATATGGAAATCTTGGAAAATAAAATAATATACCCATGTCAGACACTCACAGTCACAGCTGAGTCCAAGTAACATACATTGTGTATAATGTATTTCACCGAGTTCAATCCTAAAACATCAGGAAACCATCTTCCCAATCATCAATAAAAATGTAGATTTGATATCAGCAATGAAGACGCAAAAATCTACTTTTCTTCATTAAAATAAGAATACTGCAAATTTTTATTCATATATACAGACTATTATTGCTATAATTTATTTATATTTTATATTAAATTAGATCATTTTGTCAGCTCAGTTTTGTATTCCATAAACGGACTGTCAACTGAAATACCATAACTGATGTAAAACAAAACCAAACTAAACAACTCAACTAAACCAAATAATGTTAGCTAGATCGGTTAAGTTGATTTTGACTGAGCTTTGATCTCCCCTAACATACACACCAAAATGCAGAGTGCAGATTGCAGAAAGACTATCTTCCATCATTTTCTTATTTGTATAATAGTGTTATAATCTATAAACTTCAAAGAGAACTTAAGTTTGCCCCAAAACTCAAAATCCATTAATTAAAAATAAAACAAATGGACTTTCTACTCTAAATATTTACTACTATAGCTAAGGAGTTCTACCAGTCAATTAAGTTTGATTTCTTATATAAATTAAAATCCAGTAATATTTTTTCCCAAAAAAAAAAGAAAAATAAACCTCTTCGACAGCCTTTTCTCTTAGCCTTTCAGACATCCTTAATGCCTTGATTTCCACTTGTGCTTCTCCCAATTCTCTATCTTTATCTGCAACCCAATCCAAAATGACAAAGGAAATTGTATCAAAATAAAATAATAAAAGACAGTTAATTTTCAACCAAAAGAGCAGTTGGGTTGAGCTGAATCAAGACGGAAACCAACTAGATCGATCCACATTCATCACCTCTAGCTTCATTCTCCAATCGGGTAAGCTCCAGCTTCACCGGATCCGACCCGTGAAGAAACGGGATGAAATCATTATCCGCGTCGAAGCTAGGTCTGACAGTTCTCCTCCTCGATGAACTTTTCCCTCCACTCTCTCTAAACGACGCCGATACCGTCAACGATGGAGGTACACCCGCCGCGGTGGTCGATGTGGTCCTCATCGACGAGTCACTCCTCGCATTGCTTCTAACCTCCACCACTTCGCCGGCAATTCCTTCCATCTCCGATCCAAACACTTCCCCTCACCACTTTAAGCACAAAATGCAACCAAAAAAAAAGAAAGAATCTATTCAACGAGATATGTTTGCTTCCACATCTATAACATAAGGTTGGATCCAAATGCTAGGGTACCAAAATCAGTTGAAATCCAGCTGTTTTGAACAGATTTTCAGATATTTATGAAGTGATTGAGCCCTGAGGGGGAGAGAAAATAATAATATTGCATCTCTTTATGTCTCTAAATTGTGGATTTAAATATGGTTACAGTGACAGTATGAAAAGGTGAGTGCTAAATACTAAACAATTAAGCCTACAAAATTGTGGTATAAATTACTATTTTTAATACAACAAGTTTTGAATAAATTTGTCAGTGGTCTATACGATAAAAGGAAAGACCGTTCTGAATTCAATCAATAATTTGGTCAGTTAAAATTTTATGATTTTTTTATAATAATATTAAGAGTAATCTATGTTAAATATCACTCATCTTTATGTTCGGGATCGAAAATGTTACTGACGTTTTAATTTTGTCAATTTTAGCACGGACGTTTATGTTTCACTTCAATTTTGCCACTCCGCCGTTAATCCGTTAACGGCACGATGACATGGCATGGACGGGCCGTGACGGTGATGACGTGTATGCCTTACCAAAACGACGTCGTTTCAACACAACTATTTTGATGCTCAATAAAGACAAAACGACGTCGTTTTGCTTGAAAATTTTATTGAAATATTATGCAACTAGAGGGATTTGAACCCAAACCCCTTAAAATTAAACTAAATGCTTAACCATTAAACTACATTATATTTTTCTGTTATGTTCTCTATAAAAGTTATAAAATAGACCAATTCCTTCAAGCTTTAACAACCTAACACGCTTGAAACGACTCGAAATCCAAAGAAATTATATTTCGGTGAGTTTCCTGATATGGGTTCACTCAGAAAGCTTTACTTTCTCGACGCTAACGATAACAACGTATTCGGCCAAGTCCCATCAACGTTTTCAGTATCTCTCGTCGAGCTCTCAATGAGGAACAATATCCTAGACAACATCGACAATATTATGCTCTTACAAGTTATAGATCCCTCTCATCATTCCCTCTACCGATACCAGTTCCTCTTTGTCTACCAACAACATCAATTTCATCCACTAATACAATAAATGGGGCATTCTCCTTGGCCTTCTTGAAAAGATCACGAACTCGAGAGGCACCAACACCAACAAACTTTGAACCTGAAATGGAGAAGAATGGCACACCAGCTTCACCAACAATTGCCTTGGCGAGAAGAGTCTTTCCGGTTCCAAGAGGGCCAATGAAAATAACACCTTTATGGATGCGAGCCCCGACTACAGTAAACCTCTATGGCTTCTTCAAGAACTCGACAACCTCCATGAAGTCCTGCTTCGCTTCATCAACTCCAACAACATCATCAAATGTCACGCCATTATTAGGCTCCATCTGAAACTTTGATTAAGATTGACCAAAGGCAAGGGGGAAGCCAGGACCACCCGGTCCACCCATTCCTCCAGATGATCTCCTTGAAAGAAGGAACAACCCTCCAATCAAGATTGGTGGGAATGTGAGATTGCCAATCATGTTAAACAACAGTGAACTAGATTCTTCTTGAGCATTATGGGCAGCAAAGTCAATGTTCTTTTCCCTAAACTTCTGAATAAACTCTTGGCTGAATCCTAGAAGCTACACACGGACTCGGTGAACACGGTTTCCCAACTCAAAAGAGACAACCTCCACGATAGATATCGTGCCATTTTCATACAAATCCACTTTTTAACCATGTCATTGTCCAAATACTCCAAAAAACTAGAGTAGGACATTCTCGAGGAATAAACCCCTTGTTCATTGGCATTCGCTTTCCCATTTCCTAGTAATGTCGAAACTCCAATTCCAACACTTCCAAGTAACGACCGTAAGAATTCCCTTCTTCCTTCATGTTGTTTAGGTTTTAAAGATGCCTTTACAAGGACACCGTTCGATCTCCTACCCAGCGAAGAGATGCTGGGGGTAAATACAATATGCTTTCTAGAGAAGTCTCTACTCAACTTCGATTTTGTTCTGTGGGTAGACAAACCCTTGTTTCATCTTCGATGAGCTTCTCCACTGATTCCCCCTCAGAGATGTTCAACACCAACTTAAAAATTATACCGGAAACAAAGCATACGAGGCAAAGCGAGAAGAAACCAAAGAAAATTAAGAAGACAAAAAGGTACGCTATAAGGTTTTCGTCATCGGAGAGCGAATCGCCAGCGAGGTTGTCGAGCTTCTTGCAACGGATGATACCGTGCACAGTGGACGACAGAGTGAGTGAGAGTTTTGTGGTGATGAAGAAATGGGAGTTTTGTGGTGGCGAAACTCCAACTTTTCTCAGGTAATACAGATGCTACGTGGACTAAATAACTTTGAAAAAGCCGTTCATGTCATCGTCGTCACGGCATTGGCATGTCATGTCATCGTGCCGTCAACGGATTAACGGCGGAGTGGCAAAATTGAAGTGAAACATAAACGTCTGTGCTAAAATTGGCAAAATTGAAACGTCAGTGTCATTTTCGATCCCGAGCATAAAGTGAGTGGTATTTGACATAGATTACCCTAATATTAAAAGTCATCAACAAATATTTGATTCTAACTTAACAAGTTTTAATTTGATTCAATTTTATAATTGTATTTAAAAAAAAATTAATCGAGTCAGTTTCAAGTTTATTTACGATAAAATATTTGACTAAAAAATAATAGCATGATTGACTTTTATATATTTATAAATAATTATTAGAATACTCTTCTATCTATATATATTTTTTAAGTCGAGTGAGTTTTTATCTTAATTGAGTCAAGATTTAGATTGAGTGATAGATGGAAGGATGTTATCGTCGAATTAATTTCAAGCGAATTAAAACTTCAATCTGACCTCATATGATATGACGCATGATCATTTATAATTGTTATTGATTATAAAAAAACTGTTAACGGTTGTCAAGGATTTTTTTTTTGTAAACTTATAATTTGAAAATTTAGAAGTTGTTTGAGATATGAATGCATCGAATGGTTGTGAAGTAGTCACACTCTCTAGAATTTTTAAATTTTTATATATTCTAAGTATATTTTTTTCAAATTTTTATTGATAAAACTTCACGTATTCTAAAATTTTATAATTTTGTAACTTCAAATTTTCAACATATTTTCTTAAAAAAATTGTATCATTAACATAAAAATATGCGACCAATTATTTATATCTTTTATTGGTGTCTCTTTCACAATAATATTTGATTTATTGATTAATTAATCAAGATCGAGTATTCTATTCATAATGTAGATTTAAACTCTTAATTTTACTTAAAAAATTTAATATTTTATTTTACTATACCAACGAGTTGTTAATATCATTCTTACATATTTAATAATATAAAATTATAATAAAATAATGAATTCAAATTAAATACTACAAATACTTATTATAAACACGACATTCTTAATTCAATTATTTTTATCTATAACACGAAAAATCAACCTTCCAAAATTAAATCTTATTAATCGAGTATCTTATTTTATAGTATATGTTATATATTATAGATCAAAATGTGGCGTTTGCTTGAGATTAGGCGATAAGTTCACAGAAAATCCGAGTGACAACCTGGTTTGGCGGGATTCTAAGACCAAGTCAAATTTTAACTTTTTTTTAGATAAAAAGACAAAAAAATGTATTTTTTATAAATATTTTCGGAGTTATTTATACAGGAGTTCCCTAAATTACGTCTCATATTTTAAGTTGATTTAAAATTTTGAAGATATTTTATATCAAATTTTAAATTAGAACCCTAATTTCAAATTAATCATTAAATAATTTCAAATTCATGATATGAAAATCTTATAATTTTATGGTCGATGCTTTTATTTACTTATTAACCTTTCACATGTGTAATATTGACCAGACGAGATCATTTATATTTTTTGAAGGATTGTGCAATTCAATTTAACAAATTTTTACAATATTACCAATTAGACTTTAAATTATTATGCTCTCGAGCTAAGTAGAAACACTAAGTTTCAAATGTACGAAAATATAGGGACTGAAATCAGAATTATACCTTATCGTTTTATCCAATGCAAATCGCCTTTTTACAACCCCCCCCCCCCCAAAAAAAAAACCCCCGCGTCGTCCACGCTTAATTTCGTCAGATCTGGTTTCCCTCAAATTTTCATTTATCGATCCCATTGAAAAACAAATTGCATAGCCTAAAATACCCAAAAAAGAGCGGAAAAAAGAAAGAAGCTATGCTCAGATTCGAATTTGAAAGGATCAGAAAACGAATTTAATTGAATCGAATACTTTTCTTGTCTTCTTTTTTTCGTTGTTGTTTTTCCGTCTTTTTTTTTGAAAAATAATTCTGTTATGGCTGACGCTCTCTCTGTGATTCCCGCCTCTGTTCTCCGCAATCTATCCGATAAGCTATACGAGAAACGGAAGAATGCAGCGCTTGAGGTTTATCTTTTTTTCGTTCTATTTTTGTGTGTGAATTTCCTTGGTATTTGATTTTTGGATGATCGAGTTGCTTAATTTTTTTGTTATTGAACTGTAATGATCATATTGTTTAGATTGAAGGAATTGTGAAACAGCTGGCAGCGTCGGGCGATCACGAGAAAATATCATCGGTGATCAGTTTGTTGACCACAGAGTTTACATACTCGCCACAAGCCAATCACCGTAAGGTTGGCGATGATGAATGATTTTCAGAATTTCAAAATTTTCAGATGAGTTTTTTCTATCTTTTTTTTTAGCATTGAAGTTTGGCTCAGTTTTGTTAAATTGTTGGTGGTGTTTATGTAGGGAGGATTGATAGGTTTAGCTGCTGCTACTGTTGGGTTGACTTCTGAAGCCTCCCAACATCTTGAGGTAAGGATTAGTTTGAGTACTGTCTATCAGCTTGTTTAAATCTTATTAAAACATGTATTGAATATGTTTACCATGACATTATTTGAAACATATATATAATTGGAAACACTTCAAAGGATTCTCAAGTAGGATGGAGTGTAAAATTTTAAAAATTGTCTGCTATTACATCGGATGAGTACTTTTTTCTTGTATTTATAAAAGTGTCAGTTTTAATCTCAGTTGTTTACTTTGTTAATTTATTTTTCTCATCTTTTGTATATAATTTAGTGATTAATTAGCTTTTGATGAAACCTGACAGCAAATTGTGCCGCCAGTGCTTAATTCCTTTTCTGACCAAGATAGCAGAGTTCGTTATTATGCTTGTGAAGCTCTATATAACATTGCAAAGGTGAAAAGGGTTTAGTTAGCTTACGATTTTATTTAATTAATTATTTTTTTATCGTTTCTTGCTTTCTTGACTAATGGTGGACTGGATATGCCATCTTTTGCCGTACAGGTTGTCCGAGGAGATTTTATCATATTCTTTAATCAGATATTTGACTCACTATGCAAGCTTTCAGCTGATTCAGCTGCCAATGTGCAGAGTGCTGCTCACCTTTTAGATAGGCTAGTGAAGGTTAATAATTGCTCCCTCATCTTAATTTTCCATCTTGATAATTATGTGAAATGTGGGATTTATTGCGCTTCTGTTTTACCATGTGAAACAGGACATTGTTACTGAAAGTGATCAGTTCAGGTGTGCTTTATTGCCTTCCAATTTTACTCAATGAATCTTTTCATATTTACAGGTATTGTTCAAATTTTCTGGGAACTATTTTTAATGTTATTTATTCCACGTCTTTGTCTTCAGTATTGAAGAATTTATACCATTGTTGAGAGAGCGCATGAATGTCCTGAATCCCTTTGTCCGTCAGTTTTTGGTTGGTTGGATAACAGTACTGGATAGTGTTCCAGATATTGACATGTTGGGTTTCCTACCTGATTTTCTTGATGGTAATAAATTTATGGTCTTTTAAACTAATTTGCTACTTCTCTACGAGAAGTTATTTTAATTAACTAGCTGTTTATAACTTTCAGGTTTGTTTAATATGTTGAGTGATTCTAGTCATGAAATACGACAACAAGCTGATTCAGCACTTTCGGAGTTTCTCCAAGAGATTAAGAACTCCCCAGTAAGACTTCTACTAATATTTGGTTCTTTGACTGCTAGAATGGCTTCATGGGCGCTTGCTTTTAAGTTTCTTATGCCATTATTTTCTTTTCCACATCTTTATGGGAATGGCAAAGTTATGCCACCTTTATGTATCATTTACCAAAGTATTTCTCTTAAAAATTAAATTTTTTGTTCATTTGTAATTTTCTGACTCAGCAGTGCTACTCTTGAAGTCTGTAGATTATGGTCGCATGGCTGAAATACTGGTGCAAAGGGCAGCTTCTCCTGATGAATTCACTCGGTTAACAGCAATAACTTGGGTAAGTAGAGTTAGACTTTGTGTTGCAATATAAAGAAGATTTTTAAAACAGAAAAAAGCATCTTGATAGTGGATTGTTCCCCTTGTCAATATATTTGTCCATACTATGATTTTCTTTAATTATCTTGCTATTCATGGAGTAATTATCACATCTGGTACTTTCACATTTTGATTTTCTTGTTGTACAGATAAATGAGTTTGTAAAACTTGGTGGAGACCTGCTTGTCCCTTACTATGCTGACATACTGGGAGCCATTCTCCCCTGCATATCTGATAAAGAAGAAAAAATTCGAGTGGTACGCTTTTTTATTCTATATTCTTCTTAATGTATCTTAAATAACTATCTGTAATGTCTTTTAGAAACTCAATTGAGGTTCTTTCCGTAACTATCTCCAAGGTCTTTTGGAAACTCATTTGATATTCTTTCCTTTCTGTTATTTTTGTTTGTGTTTATATTTTTCGTATTAGGTTGCTCGTGAAACCAATGAGGAGCTTCGTTCAATCAAGGGTGAACCTGAAGAAGCCTTTAATGTGGGAGCCATTCTCTCCATTGCAAGGAGGTGTAGTTTTTGTTACCTGGGAAAAGTTCTAGGTTTGAAATGTTACTAGCAGTTTGCACTTCACTCCTGAAAAATAGCTATATATAACTCTTCTGTATTTGAAGAGTTATAAAGAAGTGCATAACGTTGTTGTTTGTTTTACTCAAATAATTTAACATTACAATGAGTTTGTAGTGTTTACTATATTTTTTACTGATCAGGCAACTAGATAGTGAGTGGGAAGCCACAAGAATTGAATCATTGCACTGGATTTCAACCCTTTTAGACAGACATCGTTCTGAGGTGATGAGTTAGTTACTTGTGAATTTCATATACATCCGGGGGTGTGCATAATATATTAGTTATTTATTATCATCATAGTGATATTTACTTCCATAAAAACTCCAAGGTCCAAGTTTATACCATTGTTGAAGGACTTAAAGTCTCCTTAGGTAAATCTCATATCTCTTCACAGGTTTTTTGGCTTTCATGTTTGGTGGAAGCACATTTATGCTGCATACCTGAAATCTTTCTATGTATCAAAAGGACCAGATTTACCTGTGTAAAGGCATGATAATTTCAATGTAATGCAAAGTACAAAGTGTATAAGCTTGTTTAAAATCTGTAATTTGAATTTTATATTCATTTTAAATTTCTTATGCCAATACTTCTTCAATATATATGATAATTGTTATTTTTACCTAAAACAGGTCTTGTGTTTTCTAAATGACATATTTGACACCCTCTTGAAAGCTCTATCTGACTCTTCTGATGAGGTAAATTTCTGTTGCTTCTTATGTGTTCCATTAAAGGTTTTATTTTCTTTTATTTCTTTATTCTTGTTCTCTATATTAGTATCACTATAATTACAATAGGATGAGCCCTATATGTAACATTTTTTTCTTGGATGAAACTGCCATTGAAACTTATAGCTAACTCAGCTAGTCATAACCTTATCTTCCCATAATAAAAAGAAATGCCTTTGAAAGAGGTTTTCCTTGTCCACATTCCCTCTTTTTTCTTCCTCTTTTGAGAGGATTTGGGATTAAGGATGAGTCTGCAATATGTCTGTTATTTTGAAATATTTGCCTAAAAAATATCAAAAAGGGAAAAAATGGGTGGGAAGATTATAGTTTTTATGAAGAAGTAAAAAATTACTATATTATACCGTGACTGGTTTTTCTTTCTTGGACACAATTAATTTGCTTTCTTACCTCCCTTTGGTTGTTCTCTTAATTTTGTTAGAAAACATCTATCTTAATCCCCTTGACTTTGCATTCCAAAATTTGGCACAAGTTATTACTAGTCAGTACATTTTCAACTTCTATTATTTTGTTTCATTCTAGTTGTGCTTTTATTGCAATAATTGGTCCTGATTACTGCTCCCTTTATCTCCAATAATTGTCATTTTAAAAGCTGAACGGGAGATAATGGGGCAATGCTTAGGAAGAATTTCTTCTTAAGTATGTATTCAAAAAGTCTTAGTCATCACTGGTACTTGGTCCTTCATTTGCCATGTATTAATAGAGTGATGTCTCTTCCTCTCAAAAACATGTTATTAATATAATTTTCTTTTTATTGATATATTTGATTTTTTGAGTTAATTTATTTATATAATTTTCTTTTTATTAATATATTTGTTATATGTTTTTCTGTGTAGTGTTAACTTTAAGGTGTTCGTGTTTGTATAATTGTATGTACTAATTTATTTTGCAAATTGGATTTTTCCTATCAGGTGGTGCTCCTGGTTCTTGACATTCATGCATGCATAGCACAAGACCCCCAAAACTTCAACCAGATTGTTGTTTTTCTGGTGCATAATTTCCAGATTAATCATTCGCTTCTGGAGAGGTGATTTTAGGTCCCTCAAGTCCCTGTTTTTATATTTTAATATCAAATTGGTTGTTTCTATTAATTGTTTTGTTAGGTTGAGCAGTCAACTAGCTACAGTTATTATAACTATGTACTTGTGTCTCATTTGTTTCTTTTGCAAATCATACTTCTGTTTTCTTAGGCGTGGTCCGTTGGTAATCCGTAGACTTTGTGTTCTCTTGGGTGCTGAAAGGGTGTACCGTGAGCTATCCACCATACTAGAGGAAGAAGCAGACCTATATTTTGCCTGCATTATGGTTCAGGTTCTGTTGTCATATATTTAAGAATTTTTACTTTTTATAGAATGTTATATCCATCAGGCACCAGATTTTCAATTTGCTCTTCTGTTTCAGGCATTGAATTTAATTCTGCTCACTTCTTCTGAGCTATCTGAGCTTCGGAAACTTTTGAAACAGTCGCTGGCTAATGCTGCTGGAAAAAAATTATTTGTTTCTTTGTATGCTTCATGGAGCCATTCACCCATGGCAATTATAAGTCTTTGTTTATTAGCTCAGGTTAGAAACTATCTCCTTTAAATGGATTGCCAATCTCTCGTTTTCTTTTTTGATATGCTAAGGGAAGGAGATCCGAGGATGAACCATCTACTTTCGTGACTGTTAATCTATTACTTATTTGCTTGATAGATGTATCAGCATGCAAGTGCTGTGATTCAGTCCCTGGTTGAGGAAGATATTGACGTCAAATTCTTGGTTCAGCTTGATAAATTGGTTCGCTTGCTCGAAACTCCAATATTTGCTTATCTAAGATTGCAGGTGCGTAAATATACTAACTACTTACCTTCCGTACTTTTCCTTTTAATAGCTTTAATATGCTTGATTTGTAGAAAATATTAACATTGCATGTTTGTTCAGCAATTCTGAAGCATTATTTGAATTGGAAACTTGGATTTTAAAAGATGGATTTGGATTCCAAAAATAGCATGAATTACCTGACAAAACACATAAATGTAACACCCGTAATTATTTTTCAAATTCATGTGTTTGCCAGATTGCTATTCAGTGGTGAATTTGAAATTCTTATAAATATTTTTTATTTTGAAATTCATGTTCTTATACCTTTCAAAATATTATCGTATTGAATCTTAACTAACTTGTACATCCCATGCATTTCATTTCACAATTTTTATAAATGATATCTAAATTCAAAATTTTGACTTCACATTTCCGAGCACCGCATAGTTGAATTCATAAAATTGTAATTATAGTCGCATTTTTCTTTTTGAGTAATTGTTTTTTTTTGGAAGATCTGTTATTTAGTTGGTCCTCTTTTCTCTATTTTCAGCTTCTTGAACCTGGAAGATATGTATGGTTGCTGAAAGCATTATATGGTCTTTTAATGCTACTTCCACAGGTATGTCTACTTTTTCAGGCATCACTCCCTCAAAACCAACTAAAATACAAAATGACTTTTGGGTTTGATCGTAAACCTCGAGTTTTTTCGTTCTCATAAGAAACAGATTGCACATACACATTGGGCATTAGTTTTTTCATTGTTAGGTTACTCCATTTGTTTAATTTAATTGCAGCAAAGTGCCGCATTCAAGATACTGCAAACTCGTTTAAAAACTGTGCCATCATACTCCTTCAATGGTGATCAACTCAAACAAGCATCATCAGGCAACCCGCGCACCCAAATTTTACATGGTGTATCCCAAATAACTTTGGATGGTGACATCACCCACGATAATGGGAATTTACAGAACGAAATTGATTTTTCTTCAAGGCTGGACCATTTTCAGCAAATTCAGCAACAACACCGTACGCTTACAGCAAAATCACAAGCGCAATCACAATCACGAAACAGTTGCACTTCATTGTTGAAGGTATCCAAGCTGCTTTTGGAGAGTCTCATTTAAATTGTGATGAATAATTTTTTTAATGGTTATGTTAGACATATGTTAGATCATATAATTGTATGTTGGAGAATGGTTGAAAACCCTGTGTTACTTGGGACTTGGGTTTGACTTAAATTATTTTCAAGATTTACATGTATTTTGAGGGTCTTTGGAGGCTCAGAGCCCTATGCCTAGGGATGGGCACGGGGTAGGGTGGGATGATTTTTTGGCCACCTGACCTGAAAATTAAAGGCTTCCACCCAACCCCATCTTGCTCCTAACCCAATCCAACCCGAATGTTTTTTATTTTTCGGTAAGATAGAGAGATAATTGAAAAAATATAGAGAGAGACATTACTTAAATTATCCTAAATATATAGAGGTAATTATAGTAATAATCTCGGGTTGGGTCAAGGATTTTTTTACCCTAAATCCGACTTCTCCAAACCTGACCCTATAGTATTGGGTCGGTCGGGTCGGAAGGTTGAGGTAATTTGACCATCCCTACCTATGCCCTTATATCAAGCGGGTTTTTGTTGAGTTTATCGCTTCATGAAAAAAAAACACATGTCTAGTCTTAAAGGTTGTGATGTGCTTTTGTTGTTTTGGTTCCAAGGCGCATGCCTTTGACTAATCAGGTTTCACCTTATACATCTTTCCCATCCCTTTTTATGGATTTCCACTCTGAGATTCAACTTGTCATATCTCTTTATGCAGGAGGTGCCAAAAGCCGAAGAACCCCGGCAGCATCCAACATCAGACACAAATAGGCCCCCTTCGAGATTATCTAAGAAAGGCTCGGGTCGATGACAAATTTTACCACATTACACTTTGCCTTGGTCCGGGTGAGATCCGGTATCCGGTATCCGATAGTAGTTTGTAAAATTGTATATCATGGTAGTTTGTTTTTCACTTTAACCTCATGGGTGAAAATTTGGGTTTCGAATATAAGCTTTGGGGGGGGGGGGGAGGTTCAAAGCTATTATTTTTTTTCCTTTATAAAGAAAATACACCCATGTGGTTCGGTTATTTTTGTTGAAAAAAAACACCACATGGTTTTAGAGGGAGAAAATGAATTTAGAAAAATACATTTTCTTTGGTAAAAGAAGGAAATTTTCTAATTTAATATAACATTTTTTTGACGCCCTAAACTAGTATTTTGTTTTGGGAACTATTATGCATACATTCATCTTCATATTTTTTGTATACATAAATTGATTGTTCATTTGGATCTTAAGACATATAAACAATCAAATTATGTTTTTTTATTTTTATTTTCCCCGAAAGTCTTGCCGTAGCCCAGAATTTACGAGTTCCTCGGTCAATCATGGAACTTTTTAAGATCACTGAGACTGAAAGCAAATATCCAGTTATAGTCAACTGTCATATGGGTCTGGTTAAAGGATGTGGAAAGACATCGTAAAAAGATTATTCCTAGAATCGTAATATATATATATATATATATATTTAAAAATATCATTCTAATAAAATGTCTTATTATAAATGGTTTTTGCTAGAACAAGTCTTTGGTAAGTCTGAAGGTTGTGCAATACTAGAGACTACACTCCTTGATCTTCTTACTCTGGAGCATGGTTGATATTTTCGATACATTTCCTTTGACTTAGTATGTTCAGTCGTCTCTTTTGTCTAACTAGGACGTAGAATAATAAATTGCCACAATTGACCCCAAATCAATATATCTATAATTTTTTATTCTTAATTATCTGTTAATTTATTCTCAGAACACAAAAAGATTAAATATGTACAATGTATGTTTGTTTTTTCAGTTTAGTGTCTAATTTTTTTTCGTTTTAGTTTGGTGCCTAATGTTTTATTTCGTTACTTAAAATGAGTTACGTCGTGACAAATTGTTAGTTTTCTCCGTTAAGTGATACATGCCACAATATGGTAATTTTAAATTTTTCTTTTTAAAAATATAAATATTAAAAATATTATTATATTTATAAAAATCTTATTTTTTTTAAATTACAAAAAAAACCAAATCTTAACACCGAAGCTTACCCACGGTGACTACGATGTGACTCACCGGTTGGGTTTTAAGCGGATGGCGAAGAGGAAGATAAATATAGTGGCAATGAGGTGAACGGAGGTTCGAGGCGACCGGAATCGTCCAAAATCCGAGTCGTCGAGGTGGGTTTTCGACGAAACTTCAAGGGTTCGATTTCGGCGAATGGCGACGGTTATCCACGAATTATTTTGGGGGCTTTGATTATGGCAACGAGGCGCTTTGATTGGGTTGGGCGGTGACATGAACGGACAAGTGACGGTGGCGATCGGCGTGAGTTTAGGAGTTAAAATGGTCGGCATGAGTTTGAGGATTGAAATGAAGATTTTTAAAGTTTTGATGTTATTTGAAACGAAGGTTTGGATCGTTCCTTCGTTCTCTTTTCTTTCGTTTGAAGGTCACTTTCATTCTTGTTTTCTTTCTTCCTGTTTGTTGATTTGCTGAATTCTGGGTTTCACTCTGACTGCTGCCACTTTTTCTTTTCTTTGGTTTCATTCTGGGTTTGCTGATATGTTCTTCAACAAGTTTACACCGTCAACGGTGCCTTGAATCTAATCTAAGTTAGTAGCTTCCAGTTTTCATTGTTACTTCGTTTGAAATAAAAAACACATTAATTTCAAAATAATTCTAAATTTTAAAAACTTTCATTTCAACTCTTAATCTAACGCCGTCCACCACAGTTGCTCTTCCGTGCCTGTCACCACCTAACCCAATTGAAGTGTCTCGTCTCCATGATCAAAAGCCCCAAAATAATTCGTAGATAGTCGTCGTCGTTCGTCGGAATCGAACCCTTGAAGTTTCGTCGAAAACCTACCCTGACTCCTCGGATTTTAGACGATTCCAGCCGCCTTTGACCTCCGTTCGCCTTACCGCCACTATATTTAGCTTCCTCGTCGCCGTCCGTTCAAAATCCAACCGATGGGTCACGTCTTAGTCGTCGTCCGTCGCCGTGGGTAAGCGTTGGTATTAAGATTTGGGTTTTTTTTTGTAATTTAAAAGAAATAAGGATTTATTTTATAAATATAATAATATTTTTAATATTTATTTTTTTAAAAAAAAATTAAAATTATCATATTGTGACATGTGTCACTTAACAGAGAAAACTAACGGTCCGTTACGGCATAACCCATTTTGAGTAACGAATGAAACATTAGACACCAAACTAAAATGAAAAAAACGTTAGGTACTAAACTGAAAAAACACACATACATTAGTCACCTTTTGTATATTTAAACCAAAAATCAATTGTAGCAAACACTAGGAGCAACACGGTATCACTTTAAATTACGATTTTACATGGAAAAGAGACTGGAATGATGTTCTTAGGGATGGGTGGGCTTTTGGTCCACCAGACCCGAGAACAAGGAAACTTCCACCCGATCCGAATATATAACTTAAAAATTCGACTTGAAATAATAAAAAAATATTTTTATTCAATAAAAATAACAAATTAATTAAATAAAATTATATATAGAAGAAATATATTATTGTAATTATTCTTAAATATATAAAGTAAAATTATATATTTTTTTCAGGTCGGGTCAGATAGTTTTCACCCTAAACCCGAATAACACACTTAAAAAAACCCGACTCGATCGGGTCGGAACCCGTCAGGTTTGATAGCTATTTCTATAAATATACAGTTGAGCGGTATCCAAGCATTGGTTAACATTCGGTGTAATATTAGCAACACAAACCATGTAATCTATAACACGTACATATCATCTGCCATTTACATCACGTTTGGTTCGAGGGAATCATTACTCTGTTCACTACTCTTATTTCATCCATAAGGTAACCGGGAAGTTCGGTCCTACGAATCGGTTCATTCCGGTTTATCCCGTATTAGCTATTCATTGCTGTACAATTAGTATTTATAAAGCATATATCTTCTCAAGATCAGAGTTATAATCATCATCATCTGATATATTTGCAGAGTATGACCACGAGAAAGACTTACTCCCACTCGCTCGTTTTATTCGTCTCTGAGAGTCGCTCCGTAAAAACCTGAAACGTTGCCGGAAAACAAAATAGCACATGCTGGCCAGAGTTCCAACCAGAATCGGTGCTCCTACGGTGGTTATAGTAATAGCCATCCATGAACTACCTTTTCCCACAACCTCGAAAGCAATTGATAAAAATGCTCCACAGGTGCAAGCACAAGCGGCCCACATCAGCTTGTTAACCACTGAAACGACCTGTTTCTGAGCGGTTGTGTCCCATGCAACCAACGTGATCTGAACAACGACAACGGCAAGTGATATGAAGAGGGATGTAGTGTTCAGGAGGCAGAAAACCTTGAAACCAACGTGATCAGCTATGTTAGCCTTCCCTGTATCTGGTCCATCGCTTATGTATTGACCAGGCAAGTTGAAGATAGCCAAGAAAGCTATCGACGCAAAGAGCACGGCTACGACAGTGACAGAATTCGTGGTGTTCTGAACTGCTTCTCTGTGAAGTTTCCTAAGTTCTTTGGCTATACCAGAAACCCTTCGGTTTGTTTTCTCATTTTGTATAAACTGCGAGTGCACCTCGTGCTTAATATCACTCACTGTCCTCTTAAGTTCCACTGCTTCATCTACTTGACCGATATACCTAGCATGCTTAGCACCGGCCTCCGTTAGAGCTTCTTTAATTTCGAGTGATGATTCTCCATACTGGAGTTTATCTGCCAAATCCATCGCAGTTTCTTGCTGATTATTTACAGCGTTGACATAGATAGATCTATAAGTTAGCAACAAGCTCACATTCTGAAAAAAGGATGCAGAAAACAGAATATAAGTAGGTGAACATAGACAAAAATCAATACGCAGATTATATATCCTCAATATTCAAAATCTTAAGCTATGTTACTCTAACTTGGACAATGGTACTCCAAGAAAAACGAAAAGTTGAAGCAATATATGTGGTATATCATGTATACACATATACCTGCAGGCGAGATTTCCTTGTAGCTATATGCAATGCCGTGTTCCCCTTTTTGTCCCGTTCGTTCAGAACGGAGGGATCAGCAAGCAATATATCATCAACTACCACCGGACACTGACCCTTGACAGCCATATGGAGTGCAGTTTGGCCTTTCTTATCGGTGACGCTGACAATACCTTGATTGCAATCGATTAGAGTTTTTACTATATCAATAAGGCCATACCTAGCAGCCGTATGCAATGCCATCTTTCCGTTTTTCCGCACGATCCTTATGCAGCTGGCATCGGCACTCAATATTGCGTTTACCACACCCAAGTGACCTTTAACAGCTGCCGAGTAAAGGGGGCTTGTATTCGTGGAGTCGCATATCTCGCAAAGCTCCGGCCATACCCCCAAAAGTTCCTTAACTATGCCTACAAAAATCCAGTACATAAATCCGCAACAGTCAATCACAATTCACAAAAGAACAAGTCCTTGAAGCAAGATGCATGGAAATATCAATAATAATCCTATATAAAACATGCTCAGTTCTGTATTGTTAACTTTCCAAAATCACATGGACGAACGAATACCGGATTTCAGGTCAAAGTTGATCGGATTATACTTATGCTGATATCAACCATCTCGAATCTAGATATACCAAGAGAGATGTACGGCCTAACAAGGCTACTAGAGGGCGGAGCAAGCTCTTCTATTCGAGTTCATGGGTTCTCTTCACTAAATGGTTCATCCATGGCCAAGGGAGAGATCAAGGTTCGAGAGATAGTAAATGATCTTATCAATAAATGGCAATGACACAATTATAAGTTGCTAACTTAAACTAAATTCAATTTAGAATTAAAATACTCGAATTCGTGTATGTTGGATATGAATGTGTCCGACACAAATATCGAAGATGATTGTAACAAGATATGCACAGAACATATTCATATACATGAGTTCATCAAAATTCATCACTTTCCCATCAACACCAAAGTGAAAATTTCATAAAATCAAAGCTAAAGAACAGTCGAAACCATTAAAATTAAGCAAAGGGATCAAGGGAAAAAACATACCCAAATGTCCTAATTTGGCAGCAACATGAAAAGTATTCATATCAGACTTAGACCTGATCTTAACAATCTCCACATCACAAAACTTGAGCAAATAGATGAAAATCTCCTGGGAATTGTTCTCGGCGGCAATATACAAACCGGTGGCTCCGGATTCATTTTGAGCAGACATCAGATCAGAAACCGTCGATGACCCATCACGCGGTTCATCTTTCGTCAACTTATCCAATAATTGCTTCACGGATTCGAGCTCCCCAGATCGAACGGCTGCGAAGAAAGACTGCTGTGTTAGGAAACGTAGAGGCTTTAACTCCATCACTCCTTCCTCCTCAAGTTTTTCACTCTTCTTTGGTGTTCATTCGAAAGGGATTTTTTTTTTTTTTGCTTAAAGCATGCTATGATTGTCAAGCTGTTGTTTTCTTTGCTGTAAAGCATAATAATTAAGAGAGCTCTACTATATTAATGGTGGCCATTGAATTTCTTTACAAGCTTTTATTTTGAATGCCACTTATGATTGATTGATTGACTGAGTCATGAAATGTGGTGTCAACTCGCTCTCTCTCTCTCTCTCTCTTTGCTACCATGTGACAAAGACGCAGGTTGACTGTTAAAAGATCAAGAAGGGTAGTAAAGAAGCAGGAAATATAAACATTTTGCTTTATTCCCACTTTAACTTTTAGCAGTTTAACTATATGTTTAAACATTTATTTATTTTTTTAATATTTTAATCTCTAATATTTTAATTTTTAATTAAAATAATCGATAAAAATAATTAAATAATTAATGATTGATATATTTTATTTTTTATTAAACTAAAAGTAATTATAAAATAATATCTATTTTAAATACTTTCAACTATTTAATAATGAACGTTCAATACCTTTAAAATCACTAGTGCTTAGACCTATAAAAAACAACAATTTCTATAACTACTAAAATAAATTAATTAGAGCATGACCAATATATATTATTAATGTAGTATTTTTACATATATTAATTAATGATACAATATACATCACATCATTAAAATGATATTATATAAATATATTATATTTAATTAATGATACGATATATAAATATAATTGTTTTTTTTATAAAAATAATATAATAATGAATTTAAGACCCATCAACAACATCATTGGAATTGGACCGTTGCTGAACCCAAATCACTTCCACACAGGCCGTCATGATATTGGACTTCGCAGTTGATTCTCTCTTTTTTCTTTTTCTGAATTATTTAATTAAACTTTTTAATCAATTTTCATATGATATTTTTTCTATTATTTAACGATTAATTTGTATTCTTCGAATGTATTAAGAAATATAATTGTTTAATAGTTTACTTTAAATTTTATGATTTTTGAATTATAATTATTTTTCATTTATGTAATAAAATTAGTTGTTGTTATTAATTAATAATTTTTTAATAGTAATCTAATCTCACATTATTGAAATTTTATAATTCCAAATCATATAAATTTTAAAATAACTTCTTAAATTTATATCTTTAATATAAAATTTGGTGTTTATCCTTAAATCTACGTCTACTTCAAAGAAAATTAAAATGGTCATATTATTATTATTCCTTTCACACGCTTTCTCTTTGGTACAGGGTTTGGGGTTGTAAAGCAAAAGTAGGTATGTACACTTGTCAGGCGGATTTGCAATTCTTTGTGAATTGAGATATTACATTATGATTTGTATTTGTACGAATCATTTTAAAATAGACCAAGCATCAAGATTAACAGCATTATGAAGTAATTGATTAAGTTTATTTTATTTTGATCTATATTGTCGATATAATATATAAAAATACGTAAGGTTAAGTGGCTAGCCCTTTTTCCCATATATATGGGATAAGGGGAAGGTAAGATAGTAGGCTACCCCCAACATCAGGTTGAGGGCAGTTTCCGTAAGAGACCTCCGAATTATGAAATGCCCTCCATGGGACTCGATCCCACGACTTCAAAGTTAAGAACCTTGTGCTCTACCAACTGAGCTGGATGATCATTTCTATATAAATGGCTGTTCCTTTTTTCCCATATGTATGGGGTAAGGGAAGGTAAGATAGTAGGCTACCCCCAATACCAGGTTGAGAGCAGCTTCCGTAAGAGACCTCCGAATTATGAAATGCCCTCCATGGGACTCAATCCCACGACCTCAAGGTTAAGAATCTTGTGCTCTACCAACTGAGCTGGATGGTCAAGTGTATTTAATTATTTGGTATATTTTAATTTATAAGTAAAAACGAAAAATAGGTCAATAAAATAGACAATGGATCGAATTATTTAATTAAATATTTAGAGGATAAATTATTTAATTTTAAAAATAGAAGGGATAAAAGTTTAATTTAAGTTTAAACTAATAAGAACCTAAAATAATATTAAATCAAACATTTTGAGAGAGACAAAAATTTATGATACATACATACATATATATGGGTTAAGATTCAATTACGTAATGTAAGAGTATTATATGATTATTTTCTTTTAATTTATTTTAACTATTGACAATAAATACATTATGTAAATACAGTTACTCAAACATTTTTAAAAAAATATCTTTTACTATTTAGATAATTTAACAAATTGAAATCTATACAAATTATAAATATTCTTTATTAATCTTTTTAACATTTTAAAATTAAATAATTAAATTGATTCAAATAAACATTTTTTATTTTTTTCATTATCTTGAGATGAATATATAATAATATATATTTAAATATTAATAATCATTTAATAATAAGTATTTATATACTTTTATATATGTATGTGATACCTAAACTTAAAATTTTAAAATATACTAATAATAATAATCTTTTAACTATTAATATTGTTTAATTCATGCATGAATATGATCGTTTCTAAAGTAAAGCGTGCAGTGTATGTTTATTTCGAGAAGCATATAGAGTAAAGCGTACACGAATTCGATCACGTCGTGGCGAAGTGTGGCAAGAGACTGCCGCCCATGCCAGCCAGGTGGCTGCACTTTATTAATTTTCAATATTCGGCACTCTTTTTTTTTTCTTTTTTTTCTTTTTCTTGTGTGCAAACAATTGTGCTATAATTGCTATGCATATTTCAATTTTTTTTTCTTTTGCATTCTTTAAATATTTCCCCAGATTCTAAATATCTACTTGGTTATGGAAATATGCTTTACTTGCCGTTTGATTAACTTTTGATTTGTAACTGTTCGGATATATTGTAGACTTTGTTTAAAATATACGTAAATCTCCTTTGGGGTCGTTATTGAATGCTTACGTAATTGTACGGTTTCGATGGCTGACGATGCACTCTTTTTTTTCACTTAGGATTTAGGAAGTTTTTTAACGAGACCCTTCGGTGTATCCAGTTTTATATACTTTTATTATTGAATGTATATAAAACCACCTCTTTAAAAGAAAAGTACGTAAATCAAATTTTAAACCTACAGTTGTTGTACGAGCGAGATTAGAACAACCAAAAACTTTAGGGACTAAATTAAAAATTAATCCATTTTTTTTTTTTTTTTAAATCGCGTTCCCATTTCAATATAAACTCGGTATGAGTTCTTATTATTCTTGAAGCAAATCAAAGCAATCGATTCTACAGTTAATTAGTTTTCGTTCTTTCAAATTCCTTCAGTTTCCAGTCATTTTCTTCTTTCCGCCTTTGTATTTGCTCTTTAGTTTGATCCAAAATCAAAAAGTTTCCAATCCATGGATTCTTCTTCGCCATCGAAAGATCTTCAAGGCGGTAATGAATGAATTCGACTTTAATTTCCTACTTGAATCTGTATAGATCCCTGGTTTTACGGAGTTTTCGCTTCTGTTTGTTTGTTAGTAATTAATAGTATATGAAAATCGCTCTGCTTATGCAGGGACAGCAATGGCCGCCGATCAAAGCCCTCTGCAAAAACACGTCGAATTCTTTGATAGGAACCATGATGGCCTTGTTTATCCATGGGAGACTTTTAAAGGTTTTCTTTCTTTCCTGGAAATGAAAACAGATTTTGATTTCTTTATATATGTTCATATTCTGGGTTTTTTTTAATAGGTCTTCGAGCAATTGGAGCTGGTTATTTATTGTCAATAGCGGGTGCCGCCTTCATCAACCTTTCTCTTAGCGGCAAAACTCGCCCAGTAATTACTCTTAACTTTATCTTCTTCTTTTTTTAAAAAAAAAATCTTAATTCACAATTTATGAGTATTAAATTATAATATATGTATTGATTTTTAATTGTGTGGTGCAGGGGAAATTTCCATCTCTTCTGTTTCCCATAGAGATTAAAAACATGCATTTGGGAATACATGGGAGTGACACTGGTGTGTACGATAGTGAAGGAAGGTAAAATAAAAATAATAGATTTTTTTTCATTCAATTAATTTAGTTATATTTAAAATTTTATGAATTTATTAATCTGATTGATATAGACAGTTAGATCTAATAATTTTTTTGGATCAATTAATATTTTATTCATGTGAATTATTGTGTAATTTTTCATATGATTAGGTTCGTGCCCTCAAAATTTGAAGAAATCTTCAACAAATATGCAGGAACACATGCTAATGCCTTGACATCTGATGAACTAACGGCAATGCTCAAAGCTAATCGGGAACCCAAAGACGTCAAAGGCTGGTAATTACTTCTTATCCTTCTTTATCTACGCTATTTACGGTGTAATTTAGTTGAGTTGAGCACGAGTTGTATGAAGCTAAAGCTCGACTCAATATTTGAAGCTCCAAATTCAATTTGAGCTCAAAGTTTTCAATTCAATAAAGATGAACTCTATAATCTATAAAATTGAATCGAATTAGAATTAGAATTAGAATTTAAATAAAGATATAATTTTTAATTAGAATTGACAAGTTACTCGATTGAAACTTTTAAGATATGCTGGAATTAGAGTTTTTTTAAGGTAAAAATCACCTGCGAGTGTTGATGTCTTGTTTATTTTATATATGTATATTTTATTGGATAATGTTAAATACTTTTTTAAATATAGAATTTTTAATATTTCATTATATAAATGGGATTATTAAATTAGAAAAACTGACATGGACAGGATTGGAAGCTTGGCAGAATGGAAGATATTATACGTTCTTTGCAAGGACGAGAATGGACTGTTGAGGAAAGAAACAATTAAAGGTGTTTACGATGGAAGCCTGTTTGAGCATCTGGAGAGGGAAAGAGCCGCTTCTTCCTAAATCCATTGTTTTTATTATCGTATTAAAAAAATAAAACATTATTTTCATAAATTTAGAATTTTAAGCACTTTCTTATTTATTAATATTTTCGTGTGATGTAAAAAGGAAGAAACCAAATATTTTATCACTTATTGGTTTATTTATTTTGTGAATTTTATGTATTGCAATTTTTTTTATTGAAATTGTAGATTTTTTATTAAAACAATAAATATATAGAATTATAATAAAGTTTATAATTATAAATCTAAATTAAACATAAGATTAGGGTATTTTTTATATTTATTAACACAAAAATTAGTCACTTGAAATCACACAATGATCATATAAGGAAAAACTAAAGAATTAATAAAAAACTTGAATATATATATATATATATATAAACAGAGTTGGTCGTATCAATAAATAAACCATAAAGGGAGAATAAAATTGATCGCGTCGATAAACGAATTACAAAATGAGATAAAACTACTAGACGACGATCAACAAATCATAAATAAATCATAAATCAAAATCGAACATCATGAAAAAATTATCCATTAATGCAAATCACATATTTAAATTCAATTCAAGGGCTTAAAGCAAAAAAATTATCATAATAATAAATAAGCGTTATCTTAATTATTCGTGACGATGTTAAATCTAACATTGATAAAAAAAAAACTAAAACAATGATCAAACAACCAATGATGAGACACATAAATATATTCCATAAACACATAAGAAAATATATCATAAAAATAAAATTATTAAAAATTAAAAACAAAAAACAAAGATTGATACAAAATTTAAATATTAAAATAACACGAGACTTTTGAACATTCAAAATTTAGTCCATTTATTTTAATTTTAGAAATCTTAATTCTTTTACTTGTCTTGTCCAAAAATTAAAAATCAGATTAATAACATTGTTAATTGATTTCTATTAAAATTTAAATAAATTTTATTATTTTGAAATGAATTCTTAAATAACATCTTTGAGTAATAAAATGTCACATTTTTCAAATTTAACAGAAAGTCATTAATAATAATGTTTAATTAGGTTTTAATTGTTAAATATAACAAATAGAAAAAAGTGTTGGTTGATAAAATTTCAGAGGAAAAAATATTTTACAAAATTGAAGATGATGGGATTGTAAAAATAAGTTAAATATAACTTGGTTTTATCTGAAATTAAATGCAAGAAAAATGGTAAAAATATAAAATTTTCAAGATTCAACCTTTATTATCACCATCAAACAATAGATTTAAAAAAAAAAAACTTGATTTTTCAGTAAAAAAAAAATATTTTTTAAAATTTAAAGTAGTCACTTATTGCTTATTAATATTAAAAATTCAATACTAAAATTCCAAGAAATAAAGAGGGACTAGATTACAATAGTTTGAAAAATAAATGAATTGGGAACTAATTAAATCTTTTTAGTTCGTAATATGGTAGCGTTGCCTACGTAAATTTCAATAGCCATTGCTTGGAGTCTTTAAGCTCTCTCCCACAACTCTCCCTCTTAATATTCTGTTTGAAGTTTGAACCCTTGGTTTTTTTCACTCTCAAATGGCTTTAGTGAAGAAAGAATTGTGCTCTCTTTTTCTCCTTTTTATCGTATCATCGATGTTCTTCGTCACCCCATCAATTTCCGCCGCTGATACCTTCGTTTTCGGTGGTTGTTCGCAGCTGAAATTCACGTCAGGCTCACCGTACTAGTACACCGTCGACTCGATATTCACCTCCCTAGTCAACTCAGCCATGTTCGCTACTTACAATAACTTCACCATGCCGGTAGCAGCCAGCGGCGGCTCCACCTCTGAGGACACCGTCTACGGTCTGTTCCAGTGCCGAGGCGACCTAAACAAAGGTGCCTGTAACCGTTGTGTCACTAAAGTGGTGAATCAGATCGGCACTCTCTGCTTCGACTCGACGGGTGTTTGGTTAAATACGATGACGCAACTTTCTAAGGCGAGGTGGACAAGACCGTGGTGGTGACAAAATGTGGTCCGTCGCTCTCGTCTAACTCGGACAGATTGACTCGACGTGACGCGGTGCTGAGTTACTTGGAAGCGAGTGACGGGATGTTTCGGGTTGGCGGGTCTGGTAATTTACAGGGCGTAGCTCAGTGCGTAGGGGATTTGGATCCGAGCAAGTGCCAAGATTGCTTATCAGATGCAATCGGACGGCTCAAAACAGACTGTGGAGCGACCAAATGGGGTGACATGTATTTGGCTAAGTGCTACGCGCGGTACTCGGAAGGCGGAGACCACTCGGACGCCGGTATGGGTAAGCGGTTTCGCCACCTCTTCCACGGTGGTTCTTCATATTTTTTTTAATATTTAATATATATCTGGTTTGGTTTAGGGTTTAATTTAGTTTGAATTTGCTTGAAATTTACGAGTAAAATGATAAATCTTTGAAAATATATATGGTTTTCCTCCTAGCTTTTAATGTCTATGAAATGTAAATTAATTAGTGTGAATTGCATGGTTATCTTGGTAAGTTCAAATTATTCAAGTTGTTGTAATGTTTTTATTCTTCTTTTAATTTTGCCCCAACTTTTACTTGTATACGTTTAGTTATACGAAATGTTAGATTATTTAAGCAAGATCATGGTTTGAATTTTGATTATTATAAATAAAGAAGATTAGGTTACGAGGATTGTTTCTATATAAAATAATTTCAGTGACCGAAAATGTCTTGTAATATACGATTTTGACCAACTTTTTTTGGATTTGCCAAAATGACCAAGTAAATCGCAATGCGATCGATAATTCGCAACGTGATCTCCGATATCGCAAATCAGTTTCCAGATTCGCAACGCGATAGTCGAAGTTCGCATTGCGATTCATTCCAAATTCGTTGCGATAGGCGAAGTTCGCGTTGCGATTCATTCCAAATCGTTGCGATAGTCGAAGTTCGCGTTGCGATTCATTCCAAATCGTTGCGATAGGCGAAGTTCGCGTTGCGATTCATTCCAATTCGTTGCGATAGGCAAAGTTCGCGTTGCGATTCATTCCAAATTCGTTGCGATAGTCCAAATATTACATTTGTTTCTTAAGAATTTTCTCTAAAAATATAGAATTACCACGACCACGACCACGACCACGACCACGACCCGACCCGACCCGACCCGGGACTGGACGGCGGCGACGGCGGCGCGCGAGAGTCCCTCTTGTTCTCTATCACTCAACAAGGAAGTGGGAAAGCCAAGCCTTAAATACCATTCCCAATAGTGTTTCTAATACTATGTGGGATTGAGCATTACCAACACTTGTTTCCAATACCATTACCTTCATTGTCTGTAAGAGTTTAATTTTGAAACTAAAAAAATATTTATTCGAATAAATAACTTACCCTTTGAGGACTTTGATGGAAGAAAAATATTAACCAAACAAATGCAAATGAGACAATGATGGAAGTTTTCAACTGAGGATGCTACGAAAACTAGCTGCTAATGACACAAAGGAAACATATCGAGTTGTTTGGTCATCATCTACTCTTTGCAAGTAAGTCATTTGAACACTATAAGAACCCGAATCAGAGTTAGTTTTAGCAATTACTTCATTTATGATCAAAGTCCTCAAAGGGTAAGTTATTTATTCGAATAAATATTTTTTTAGTTTCAAAATTAAACTCTTACAACAATGAAGGTAATGGTATTGGAAACAAGTGTTGGTAATGCTTAATCTCACATAGTATTGTAAACACTATTAGGAATGGTATTTAAGGCTTGGCTTTCCCACTTCCTTGTTGAGTGATAGAGAACAAGGGGGACTCTCGCGCGCCGCCGCCGTCCCGTCCCGGGTCGGGTCGTGGTCGTGGTCGTGGTCGTGGTAATACGTGTCTTCGACACGTCCGCGCGAATTCTATCTTTTTAGAGAAAATTCTTAAGAAACAAATGCAATATTTGGAATGAATCGCAACGCGAACTTCGACTGTCGCAACGAATTGGAATGAATCGCAACGCGAACTTCGACTATTGCGTTGCGAATCTGGAAACTGATTTGCGATACCGGAGATCGCGTTGCAAATTATCGATCGAATCTATAAAAATTAACCAATCAATAAATCAAATAATATTTAATTCAATTTTAATTTAGTTCAATGTTTATAAACATTTATTTACCTCTATGTTACAATTTGATCATTGTCGTCGAATCTATAAAAATAAATCCTCAAATATAAATATTATTTATGTTATCTAAAATGGAAGTTAATGTAATATAAAAATCTATATATTCGATGTACATATACTAATTTATTTTCATTTAAAATTGTTCTATTTGTTTAATCATATTTAAACATGTATCGATCATAAAACTCAAACAAACTTGAAAAATAAAATAATAAAGACATAACCTATTATACATCTATGATAGAATGAGAAAAGATAATAATTCTAATGTAAATTATTCAAATGTTACTATACAAACAATTAAATATAAAAATAATATTTATTAAAAATTATTTAATAAAATAATATCCTTTTAATTTCACATAAGATAATAGTGCAGTGTCTAATATACATTTTTAAAAGACTTGTCATATTAATTATGTCTTTTAGGAATGCATATGACATCTATCTTTGTCGTACATAATACTGAAAATGTACATTAAAAGATATAAATGAAAAAAAAACAAGTGTTTAGAATAAATTATACGAATTTTATTCAAAAAAATAAAAATAAACATGAGCTATATGTGTCGAAGATAGATGTTAACAATCCTAAGCTTTAAGGATGACACATGGTTGTACAAGTCAACATTAGGATGGAGATTGATGATTGACTTGTACAACCATCTTCTTATTATTGAGGGAGTAGTCTCTAAACCTTACTTTTTTTCACATCTTTATAAAATTTTCTTATTTTTCGAGATTCAGTCTATCATTAACAAAGCATGAGTGAAACGACCATATTAATATATATGTATGACCTTTGTTTTCAACCATTCAATTAATATACACTTAAAATGTTATATTTAAATATTTTAAAAAGCTAATATTTAATCAATAAGATATTTAATAATATCAACATTGTTTTGCACTCTTTTATAATATAAAGATTGAATTAAACCTTCTTGAACTATAAAAATAAAATTTCGGAGATATTTTTAGGGTATTCTTTGTGAAGGTGTGAAGGAATGTTTACAGAAATGATGAAGTAGGCACATTGAAACAAGTGAAAAGAAAGTTGCACTGAAGATGAAAAAGCGTAAAGGCTAACTAATATACTAATTGTGCATGACCCACAAGGCCACAACTGGCCACTTGAGCTTTAAAGCCATGTCTACCTATAATTACACACCACCTCTGTGAACTAAAAGAAACTAAAAGAGAAGGCGCTCTTTGAATTGTTGTAGTTAGCGCATTTGCTGGGGTGTCATTACATACTTTTGTTCACTTTTTAGTATACATATGGTTGGCAAAACCTTTGAATTCATTTATGGTTTTAGATTAGATATATACGTATATTTGTGTTGAAATCCTCGTCGTCTAGATCTTCAACTAAAGAATTGGGTCATGTTGAATTCTGTTTTAAGAGAGAAAAAGAATTTAATTTGTAATCTTATTTAAGAAAACATCGAATTTTTGGACTCTCGATCCAATGATTGTTGGGTACGTTTTGATCCGTAAGTCTTTTGAGACCTGTTTCACACTTGACAAGAAGATGTAGGAGAATGTTAAACAATGACCAGCTTTAAGAAAGGGATTAGTCAAAAACGGTAAATGTAAAATATAGTCAAAAGTGACTAAAAAAGTATGTCGAATTGAGAGAGGGTAATTAGAGAACAAAAAAATAAAATAAAAAAAAGCTTAAGATGAACGAAATCTTTCAACTCTAAAAGAAATATCAGTTAATTATTTAATTAATCATTCAAATTAAAAAATAATTAATTAATATGTCAAATTGATTATTTTAATCTTTGTACATATATATTAATATTGCGTATAGGTTTGAATAGAGAGATTATTGATGGTTGTTAAGTTTTTGTGGAGGATGAAACATGTATTTAAGAAAAAGTTATTATTTGATTTTTCTTAATGTATTTTGAAATTTCGTGTTTGAATTCTGATTGTACAATATCTTTTTATTTGAAAAAAACATAATATTCCAAGAAATATTCGAACTTTATTGCCATCTATGATGAGAAAACTTCAAATATTTTATTAGTAAGCAATTATTGTAATTTGAAAGCCTCGCGTGCTGAGGGTACGGATGCATTATGACAAAAAATATAACGACGACTTGAATTATTATTCCTTTTACTCGAAAGGAAACCAAACACACTTAAATGTTGTAGCAGAATGGATCTATGTGACCACAGTAGGTGCAGATCGACCAGTGAACTCCTTCATCTTCGACAGTGTTAGAGCGACCTCCACCTGATATCAGTTGCAAGAAGAGTCGGGTTTAGGGGGAACCATTAATATTTGTAGACGGAATAAATTTAAGGACTCACAAGAGGAGCGTGAGGTTCTTCGGCCTCTCTTCCGGTTTTCGGTGGATCCTTTTTATATTGCTCGATGTAGAGACGAATAGTAGCACCTTCTGAACCAGTTCCGGAGAGGCGGAAAATCTACATATAGAGTTTAAGTTACGGGCTTTACATAAACTCTGGAAACCGCACAACTGAGTGGCGGAAAACACGAGCAACTTCACTTACCAATCGTGATCCATCCTCGAACAAAAACCGAATACCTTGATTCTTTGAAACCGAACCATCAACAGGATCCTTGTACTCGAACTCATCAGCATTCACAACTTTTGACACATCCGGTCGAGCACCCTTCACGATACTGCACGATATAAAAAGAAAAAAGAAGGCATAAGTTCATCAAAACCAACATTTCAAGGAAATTCTTTAGCCATAATGACTATAATCAACATGACAGTTTTAATAATTGTAATGCTCGACACTGAGTAACACCAAAAATTCAGTGCTGAAAATAAGCATCGATACCGAGTTGTATGAGACTCGACTCCAATTTACAAATAATTTGACGAAGAAACCCATACACCAGCCACAGTTCAGTAAGACAATAACCCATCAAGCTAGCAAGAATGGTCATATATAGTAGTGACATATAACCAATACCAACAGGAAGAAAACCAGTTTTAAAACAAGCTATATTGCTCTGATTCTACATTTTTCTTTAAAATCCATGTCCAACACATACCGGTAATGGGGTAGAAGGGTATGGTCCTCCATATAAAATGAAAATCTTGGAAAGAGGTTGAACATAACCACGTTAGACACATACTCATGTCTGAACCTTATACCCGTGTCCGAGTATCACCGCAGTTACTTTCACTTAAAGTTGATTGACTTGAATATTCAAGAAACCACAAGAATTAAAGGAGTATAGAAATTCTCCAAAAGAAAATATCAAATGGTAGCACAATTCCAGGAAATCATTGAGTAGTTCTAAAATTAGTATATATACGTACGCATTAATTTCATCAAGGTTTGCCATCAATTTAACCATATTTGCCATTAAATCCTTCGCTCCACCAGCATCTACATTCTTCACGAAAGAAGATGAAATCTAGTTAGATACTCCCTCGATATATGTAGGAAAAATATATAAAACAAAATTAACCAGTGTTGTACCTCATAGTCATATCGAGTATAAAAGTGTCGACCATAGGTAGCCCAATGCTGACGAACTATGTCCTCAACTGACACAAGCTTGTCACCATTGAGATTTTCCTTATTTTTATATGCAAGGATTGAAAGCCAGGCCAAAACAGCCCAGATTCCATCTTTCTCACGTATATGGTCAGAGCCTGTTCACGGTTAGCAGATTCTGTAAGTTTCTCGTAGTAACAAATAAAATTGATATACTTCGTGTGTAGGAACATCAAACGCTAACCAGTTCCAAAACTTTCTTCTCCACAAATTGAACACATTCCAGCATCCATTAAATTCCCAAAAAATTTCCAGCCAGTGGGTACCTAGCAGAGAATAGGTAAGTAGCTCGCTTGTAACGGTAAAAACAGTGGCCAACGTAAATATTATCAATAATATTTTTCCATGTAATACCTCAAAAAATTTCAGTCCCAAGTTCTTGGCCACAACATCAAGGGCAGCTGATGTGGGCATACTCCTACAAGCAGCAAATCCAGAATAAAGTTACAATGAAGACAAATAAATAAATAAATATGCATCGATGCAATAAGCAGGAAACGCCATATTAGAGTTTTAACTTCAATATATGTGTAAACATTGGTGAGCTTATATCTTTGTTATATTCAAAACCATATTGTAATAAATATGAGATTAAGAGAGTTCTAGATGCTAGAAGAAGAATATAATGCAGGCCTAACACAAACACGTGAAGCCATGCCTGAACCCAAACCACCTTTTCTGACATTTGAAATTTCACATTTTCAAACGTCAAACAACGATTAACCGTTTTTATAAATTATAATAGACATGAAATCTCATAATGGAAGAAATAGTCTGACATAATTATTTTGCTCTCTGAGATGTATGGATGCACTTGAGCATGTCAAAAAGAAAAAGGATTAAGACACATTTTCACCAAGTATTTTCAGTTTGTATAGGTTTCAAGTGTAGTATCACCATTTTTAAGCTTTAGTGGCAATGAGCATGTTAGTTGTTCTGGATTGAAAGGACCAACTGGACACTAAGGGGTTGTTTGTTTACTTCAGAATGATTAAGTGCTGAATGATTCAAATGCTGAATGATTCAGAGGCTCTGAATGAATTAGCTCTGAATGTGACATGCTGTTTGTTTACTGGCTTTGAATCATTCAAAATGTATTTCTGTGCTGAATCATTCAGCACTGTTTTGCTGAATCAGTCAACACTGAATTATTCAGATGTACGAAACAAACGCGCTGAATGTTGAACCGTTCAGCATTCCGCGCTGAATAGCTCCATTAAGAGGTAAACAAACAGCCCCTAAGACTGGTTGAAATCCGAGCAGGTTAAAAGCATGCTATGCACAAAAAAGAAGTGGCTTGGTGCAAGAAAAAACCTGGCAACTCCCTTTAAACCAGAAGAAAAGTAAGGAATTGCATTAACAGCATTGGCAGCAATGATGGCTACTGAATCTGATGGAGTGACAAAAAACCTAACAAAGCAAATAAGTTAAAAAAAAAATTAGAAGGCTTAGTAACTATTAAGATGTTAACCAGATTTTGTTGATGGCATTACTACCTTTTACCCAGGATCATGTTACGATCAGCATCACCATCAGCAGCCGCACCAAACTCGGGTGGTTCAACTTCAGGATTTGATTGTCCCAATCCCATGCGCTCAACCAACTCCTTGGCATAAGTCAGATTGGGATCGGGATGTCCTCCTCCAAAATCCTCCTGGTTTGCATTAAGTCAAGCACCAACAAGGAAAAGTCTCATCTACTTGGATAAAGATAAAAACATATCATAAGTCCCTAAAATTCATCGCAAACATAAAAAGACCTTGGGTACGCAGTTCAAAAGGGAGCTTGTTTGTGCCCCGAGCTCCTCCACAAAAATGCGATTTGCATAAGCTCCAGCAACTCCATGAAGCGCGTCATAGCTTCAATAAGAAGGGAAAGAGTTACACCTTTAACCAAAAGCTTAGGTATATGCTAGAAAATTTGTTCCTCTTCATAAAGGCAAAATCTGCATACCAGAACGTAAACTTCGGAGATGAAAGCAGCTTGCGGATAAGCTCAAAGTCAAAAATTGATCTGACAAATAGAGGCAGAGGGCTTTAGTATTTCGACTGCACGCATTAGCTGCTAATATTAAGAACCCTGACATTGTCAGCATTCACAAACATTGAAACCAATAACAGGAAGTGAAATATGTCGCAGAATTTTAGCCCATGCAAATGATTTTCTTTGGAGCATTAGGTGTTGAAATTAAATAATAATACAATTCCAATCAAGGGTGGTAGACAAAGATGGGAAGAACGAATGTCACCATCCATATGATGTTGTTAATCAAAGGCAAAAACATATCACTTGAAGAACTTACTTCATCAATTTTATGTAGTCACTAGCTGAATCAAAAACTTCAACATCAAAATTTCCTTCAGGCCCCGTAAAGTTGGTAACACCGATTGCACTAATGTCTACCTGGATTATGCAACAAATTAACAACATTAGCATAAAAGGAACAAAGAAAATGAAAAAACGTTGATCCAAGTATGCAGACAAACTTTTGGTAGCCCCTCGGCAATCAGATATTCTTTTATTGTTTTTGTGTTCTCAAAGATCTTATCAGTGATGGCCTCTGGAGCAGGTCCACCATTTTCCATGTTGTATTTAATTCCAAAATCCTGCAGTAAATAAACAAAAGCAAAAGCCTCGGACATCTATAAAATATTGCATATAAAAACATTTTTTTACTAAATGGACAGACTCGGACAAAGCAAAAGCAATCATACATCTATTCAAGGTTGCATGTAAATGCAACTTTTAGAAAATAGGCAAAATAAGTTAGGCACTACCTCATCAGGACCACCGGGATTGTGACTAGCTGTCAAAATGAAGGCCCCAGTTGCTTTGGATCCCTGGAATTAGAAGTTCACAAGTAGAACCTTAATCAAATTCAAACGTATCAACTAATTTTGTTTACAACCCAATACTGGTAAAAGGGGGTTTGGGGGGGGATAATAATAATAGTAACAGCGGAGTGTGCAATTGCAGCAATATTACTCACATCTGCACCAACTCTTTCACGTATCACAGCTGATACAGCTGGAGTTGAAAGCAAACCATTTTGACCAACCCATACACGCCTTACTCCATTTGCAGCTGACATCTTGATTATTATCTGTCAATTTAACAAGACATTACGACACCAAGCAAGTACACTATGGTTAATGAATGATTACTAAATGATATATCATTTTCAAAAAGGATAAGATCATAATAAACACAAACAGTCATGTACCCAAAAAAAAACACAAACAGTCAAGAAGTCCTCAATTGCAACCTTTAGAGCATTTAATTTAGAGTTTGAGCACCAATATTACATCATAATAATTGTTCAACCAGAACACCTACTGCATACACCACATTACTGGTCACATGTAATGTTTTATACAGGCATTCCCTCGTCCACCATACAAGGATGAAAAATATGCGTTGACCACAGATTACCTTCACACATTTTTATGCTGGTTAACCAGTATCAACTAATACTAATACACCATACAAGTAGAAATGCAACAAATAAGTAGTAGAGATGTCATGGGATAGTTTAAGAAAGTTCATTTAACCATATCTAGATTTAGGTCCAAAGAGTTGCAGTACCTGAATAGCGTCCTTTGAGAAATAACGACCGTCACCAGAAACAACAAGTGTAGCGCCTAGAACCATGAAAAGAATTTTTTTTAATAAAGTAATTATAATATATTGAATGAATGTGACCAAGAAAGATAGTAAAATAAAACAGAATAAATATTCATATCAATTTTTCGTTTAGATATTTCAGAATCTATTTCAAGAGGATTTCTAACAAAACTAGTTAAACATGAGACGAGTTGAGTTTAACATGCACTGCAATCATTAACCAACAAATTAGAACAGCATATTGTCAGAGCATTAGATGAGACGTGAATGATAAGAATTGGACTAGCAAGCAAAACAGAAATGCACCATGACGGTGTGCGTACAGTTCTGGTGTTTCTATCTGAAATTAGGGTAAACTCTTAAATCTATGTCATACTTCTCTGCTCTTGTACATAAACAGAAAAGGGGCTAATGAACTTAAAGATCACCACGGTCCAAAGGGCTAATATTTATACAAGGTTCTATCAGTACGAACTACAATTGTTAAGGTTGAAGTCAAAAATATGAATTCAAAGAGTGCATTTAAAGCTCCTTATACTGGCTCTTCAGGACAGAGATTCTAAAGGACAGAAAACTAGAAAATAATTAAGCTGCAAAATCCAATTCTACTTTGGCGAAACAAAGAAAAGTGTAGGAATTATAGAATTATATCAGCTAAGGGATTCTGTAAATATTCTTTCAAATCCAGAATTTTTTTTTGGTTCTGATGCTCAATTAGATTCGTCTGTTTTGAATATCACCTGCCATCGATTGAATGGCAACAATTTTCTTGAATGGTCCCAATCGGTTAAGATTTTTCTCTTGGGCAGAGAAAGATTGGGCTACATTACTAGTGTAATCAAGAAGCCTGCTGCGACTGACCTGTTTTTGCTAAGTGGATGTGTGACAATGGTCAGGTTATGGCTTGGCTCCTTAATTTCATGACCCCGAGTATAAGCATAAACTTTCTTTTGTATACCACAACCGTTGAAATCTGGAGTGCAGTCCGCGAAACCAACTCTAGCATTGATAACATTGCTGAATTATATCATATTGAAGATTAGACAGCCACCCTTAAGCAAGGAACCATGCCTGTCACTCTCTACTATAATACCATTACCGCCCTTTGGTAGCAATTAGATTTGTATGAACACCATGATTGGGCATATCCAAGAGATGTTGCCCTTTACCAGCAAATTGTCACTCACTGAAGGCTTTTTCAATTTCTTCAAGGGTTAAACAAGGACTTGGACGAGGTTCGCGGAAGGTCCTGGCTATTTCTCCTATTCCCTCAATTCGAGAGGCTTTCTCTATTGTCAAAAAAAAAGAAAGTCGACAGTGTGTGATGCTGCCTGTTGAACCATATTCCCCTCCTGAAGGATCTGCCTTACTCACCCATCAATCATCTCCCACTTCCAAATGGGAGAGACCTTGGTGTGATCATTGCAAAAAGCACGGCTACTCCAAGGAGAAGTGTTGGAAGCTTCATGGTAAGCCTCAGGACTGGAAGTCCAAGAACTCCCGTGATAATAAATCAAGCCTAGTCGCTGCTACATCTGTCACTAGCTTCAACAAAGAACAGATTGCTGAACTTAAAAAACTGTTTGGAAAGTTTCAGGGGCCTTGTGAGGCTAATTTGGTAATACAAGAACCAGAAGGTAACCCTTATGCTTCAACTTTTTTCTCCTCCCAGTTGACTTCTAATTGGATCCTCGAATTTGGTGCTACGGATTATATGACTGGTAGCAAGGCTTTGTTTCATAATATTTTCTCAACCTTTGGTAAAACCGTCAAAACGGCTGATGGTTCCTTGTGCAAAATAGAAGAACATGACACTGTTGTTCTCAATGAACAAATTGCGCTTAAAAATTTTCTTTTTGTACCAAATCTGGCTTGCAATCTCGTTTATGTTAGTAAACTTTCCACATACTTTCACTGCTCCACAATTTTAAATGATCTTAATAGTACTTTGCAGGCATTGAACTCGAAGAAGATTATTGGTAAGGTAAGTTTGTAGAATGGTCTCTACATCCTCCCTTCATCTCCTAAAACCGAGATCTCCAAATCTTTAACCGCTTTAGAAAAAATTGATATTGTTATGCTATGACACTTTCATTTAGGTCATCTTAGTTTCCAATACCTTGCAAAATTGTTTCCTGCTTTATTCATTAGTAAAAGGCCAATTTTTTTTTCTTGCAAAGTTTGCTCTCTTGCCAAACATACTAAATCATCTTATTTTCCTTCTATTTACAAGCCTTCTCACCTTTTTGCCTTGATCCACAGTGATATTTTGGGCCCTTCCCTGGTGAAGAATGATGATAATTGTAAGTGGTTTATCACTTTCAATGATGATCACAGTAGGATAACTTGGACTTATTTACTGAAAGATAAATCTTAAACTACTGGTGTTTTGTGCAATTTTATAACATGATTCTCACTCAATTTGGGTCTAAATCTAGCTCTTTAAATTTGATAATGAAAGTGATTTTTTTATAGGTCTTTGGGTGATTTTTTCCAGGGAAAAAGCTATAGTTCAACTTAGTTCTTGTTTTGGAACCCCACAGCAAAACGACATTGCCGAAAGAAAAAATAGGCACCTCCTTGAAGTTACTCGTTCTCTTTTATTTACCACTAATGTTCCCAAATATTTGTGGGGGAAACCTTATTAACTGCCACATATTTAATCAATCGAATGTCTAGTAAGGTTTTACAATTTCAAACAATTCAATATATATTTTTGCAACATTTTCCCCATTTTAAGCCTGTCTCCTCCATTCTGCCACTTAAAATCTTTGGTGCACTGTTTTTATCCAAATATTGCTCCTAATAAGTCCAAGTTAGATCCTAAGTCTCTAAAATGTGTACTGGTTAGGTATTCTTCACTTAAGAATGGATATAACATTGTATGAGCAGGATCCCTATTTCACTATGGTTGAAATTCAGGGGAGACATGGAGAGATTTTCAGCCACATCAGGTATATCCTCCTAATCTTCTTTCTCAACCTCATAATTGCCATCATCTTCTCCTTTACCTACAGATTTGTCACCTGTGACTACTCTCATTGATTCTACTGTAATACCTTTTACTAATTCACCCACATCTACTTTAAACACCCTTCCTGAAAATACACCTACTCTCATTGAAAGTCTTCCAAAAATAACACCACCCAAACAGCTTCGTGTCTACACAAGGAAAAAAAACATATCCCTGAGGCTATTTTGCAATCTGATTCTTGCTAAGAATTGGATTTGGGTCCAACTGGCAAAATGGAAGAAGAAATCAATAACTTCACTTCTCCTACTCTAGATGACTTCCCTATTGTTATTACAAAAAGGGTTAGACAGTGCACCAACCATCCTATTGGAAAGTTTGCTGGTTATAATTCATTGATGCTTTTTTTCAAGCATTTACAACAACCTTGGATAAAGAACAGGTTCCCACAAGCATAGCTGAAGCTCTAAAGGATCCAAAATGGAGAAGGATTGTTGAAGAGGAAATTTGTGCACTAGAGAAAAATGCTACTTTGACCGTTACAAACCTTCCTCAAGGAAAAAAGGTTGTTGTCTATAAATGGATCTTTGTTGTAAAGTATAACTACAATGGTAGTATCCAACGATATAAAGCTAGACTAGTGGCCAGAGGCTTTACGCAAACATATGGGATAGATTTCATAGAAACTTTTGCACCTGTGTGTTCGAGTACTCCTAAGTTTGATTGTAAATTGTAATTGGCAATTACACCAACTTGATCTAAAAAATGTATTTCTTAATGACAAAATAGAGGAAGAAGTCTATATGATATTACCACATGGCTTAAAGTTTGTTGAAGGTAGCAACAAGGTTTGCAAGCTCAACAAGTCTCTATTCAGGTTAAAACAATCACTCAGAGCTTGGTTTGAAAGGTTCACTAAAGTCATTCTTAAAAACGGCTACAAGCAGTCCTTTGCCGATCATACTCTTTTCATCAAGGTAACTTCTAAGAATAAGAAAGTTATCCTAATTTTGTGCGTGGATGACATAATTCTTACTGGAGATGATGAGGAAGAGAATAGAAATTTGAAGAAGTTGTTAAACAGGGAATTCGAAACCAAGGACCTGGGAAAGCTAAGGTATTTACTAGGAATGGAGGTGGCAAGATCAAAAGAAGGACTTGTGATCAACCAAAGAAAGTATGTTCTTGATTTACTCAAAGAAACTGGTTTTCTTGGTTGTAAGCCGACTGATACACCAATGGAGGCAAACTTGAGATTCAACAAAGAAAATGGGTCCTTAGTAGACAGAGAGAAATTTCAAAGATTAGTTGGGAAACTAATTTACTTATCCTTGACAAGGCAAGATTTAGCCTTTCCCGTAAATGTGATAAGTCAACACTTGATTAATCCTATTGAAGAGCATATGGCAGCAACAAATAGAATTCTCAAGTACTTGAAGAAAACTCCAAGACACGGCTTAATGTTTAAGAAAACACAAGACATAACTGTTATGATTTTTACAGACTCTAGTTGGGCCGGAGATCTCACTGAAAGAAGATCCACTAGTGGCTACTACACTTTTGTTTGGGGTAACCTTACAACTTGGAGAAGTAAGAAACAATATGTCGTTTCAAGAAGTAGTGCCAAATCAGGAGAATCACTTTGAAGTTTTGTGTGATAATCAATCTGCCATTCAACATGACCGAACAAAGCATGTTGAGATTAACAGGCATTTTATTGCTAATCAAGTCAACAAAAAGATAACCACCCTTTCATACATTCCTTCAGAAGGACATATTGCAGAAATTCTTACTAAAGCTTTGCCAAAGCCTGTTTTCAATAAATTCCTATTCAAGCTGAGATTATACAATGTATATTCTCCAGCTTGAGCGGGAGTGTAGGAATTATAAAATTATACGAGCTGTTACCATCCCTTTAGTTAAGGGATTCTGTAAATATTATTTCAATCTCTTAATTTAAGGGATCATGTCTCCTATGATTAGTATCTTTTCTAACTTTGATTTTTCTAATTCAGAGACAATTTGTATATACATATGCAATACATCCTATTGAATAAATAAGAAAATATAGAGACTTACTCTGATTTCCACAAAAAGAACTAAAGCAATTGATATGACCAAAAGAACTGTTCTATCAGAATGACGTGAGCAAATTATCATTCAAGATAAAATGTACTTCCCCCAATTATATTTAGTGCACATATGATCCCTCCATAAGACTATCCCTACCATTACAAAGCATGTTCTATGTAAGCCTTAGATAAGCAGATGTACCTCCGATCAACACTCAATTCCAAGCTTCTATATCATTGCTTAACATGTCACATTATGTGTCTAAATAAATAAATGAGGACCAAGTAAATTTAGCATACAAAAATCAAGCATAAAACATCCCTACCTCTAACTTTCTCTGGTGTGAGGGCGTTGAATGTTGACTGAACAAAATTGTGCAAATAATGAGGTTGAACAAAAACTTTCACCTGGGAAGATCAAAACGCTAAATTATCCAATTAATCAAACAAGTAAAGCAATAAGAGAGAAATTTTTGTTAACAAAATGTAGAAAATACCACAACTACTAAGTTGTATTATTTTTATGATCAGTTCCAGAGTATTAAAACAGAAAATGTAACGGTAAAGTATTAAAACAGAAAATTTAACGGTAAACCATCAAAAACTTTATTCGACATATAGTCACTAAAATCAAAGGAGGGAACTATGATCTGAATGAGATGGACTAAAAAGATTCAAGAATTACAATTTGACGCATTATTAGAAAATGGGAATATTTAACTTGATTTAAGCCTCCAATGACCAAGAGAGAAATTACAGTGAGTCAAAAATAAATAAATTCAATTAAATAATATAGAAACTTGATTCGGATCCAATATTGAAAATAAAAAGAAAATAAATTATTATATAAGTTAAAACTTTAAAATGTAAAACAAATCAGAGACGAAAATGATGAGATTCCGGTCCATTTTCAGTGTTATATATTTAAGATTTACAGCTTATCTATATAAAAAAAATGAAGTTAACTTTGCATTAAGAGACCTGATTCAATAAGAAGCACTTCCATGAATCAAATTGATCTAACAAGAGAGATCAACACGTCGGATAACGAATCAAATCAAACGAAATTATAAAAAGCGTAAGAAGTACAAAAACCTTCTTACGGAGGCCAGAAGTGCCAGGCTTCTGGTCATCGAACGGCGTCGTTGGCACTTTGGACACCTCGAACACCATTTTTGTCACTCTGCCGAAAACACACTCAGATCAATCAAAGCAATCAATCTAAACACGAATATCATAAATCTTAATAAAGAAGAAAGTGAATTCGAGAAAGAGAACTCACTCGTTGGAGAGATCAAAGAGAAATGCGATTCCACAAAGCTGGCTAATGAGGGAGTGAGCGGTGTTTTCTTTATGGATTTGTTAGCAATTTGATATGGTGGAATTTAAGGAAACTCAATATTTTCTTTGTTAGTTTGGGATGAACGAGTCCTTCGCGGGCTATCTGACAAACCCGATTTGTACGTGCCGGATTTTATACAAACAGTTTTAATGGTTTAGGTTGCACGAAACATTCAAACTTTTGAAAAATTCAATTATACATTTAATTTTTTTATCTAATTGAATTTTCAATTCAAAAAATAAAAAAAAAATTCGAATCAATTAAGCATATGAAGAGTATGCATTATGAAATATTATCAGTAAGTAGGATGGATGGTCGGGTGGTAGTTCTTTTTAAAATTCCAAATCATCATGTAATATATATATATTATATTTTTTTATTGATAATATATTTAAATTTTTATAAATTCGTCCTTTAATAATACAATCTTATGTCCGTTCCCACGAGTAAAGCTTCGGTGTCATGATCTCAGGCGGATGGCTCAGGTTCATCATTGGTACAAAGTGGGAGGAAATTAAAGGGCTTCCACTTCATAATCCTAAAATATGTAAAGATCGACATAACCATTTCAGTGATATACATCAACATGTATATACATGTATGTGTGTGACAGAGAGAGAGAGAGAGAGAGAGAGCATTTTGTGCTATATACCCCAAAATATATGCGTGTGTGACTATCTATGCATCCATGCATGTATGTGTTTTTTTGGATTATTGTAAAGAGATACTAATCACTTCTGTTGGAACAGCAACTCATCCTGGACCATTCGCATCCATTAGACAAGTGTAATTTTAGATCGTTGGCGGAATTCAAATTTTAACATAATGTTATTTAACACGTATTAACATCATTTAAAAACAAATTAAACTGGAAAGATTCATTAATTGATCAAGTAGTTAAGGATGCTTGTATTATTTTATTTTTATATGAATTTAAATCTCGATATTTTCTTTGAGAATATAATATATCTTAACATAGTAAAACAAAATAGACCGAAGAAACTAAACTTTTATAACTAAAATCAAATTGAAGTTACCAACTATTAAATTATCTAACGATATGAGATGTTAAGTCCCTTAAATAAAGTTTTGAGTTCAAATTCTAATAGTGCGAATGAAAAAAAATGAATTACATTGTGTAATACTAAATAAATATTAATTGACTATTAAGTCCGATATAAATGATTATGCTAAAAAAAGTAGACTGGAGTTTCTGAAATTAAAAAGAAAATGATTAAAAGTTTAAAATCCAAAGACTATGAGGACTGGATTCATAATTAGACCTAACAAAAATAAAAATAAACAAACGCACCGCACGAAACCGATATTAACCGACCCAGCCGCTCAAAACAAAAACCCGTAAACCTTCATTCAAAACCGGCATTTCACTCGTATAAATTACCTCAAAACCTTTCTCTACAAGCAAAAACCTCTCTAATTCTCAAAATAAATCAAAGGAAGCTCTGTTTCATCGTGAATGGTGGAAACAAATCCAATTGATAGCAATTGGATGCTCTCTCTTTCCGATTCAAGAGAAAGCTGGTATTATCGTTGCCTCGGCCTCGACCATTAAAAAAAAACTTCCCTCTCCGTTAAAACCCAGATTTCATTTTGGTTTTAGTTTCAAAAACACAAGAGAAACCCGTATTATTTTTCAACTCGATTCGATTTGAAGTAATGGCTCTTTACAAGAAGAGGAAGAATAATAAGGGTGGCAACCGGCTGTTGATTAGCGTCACCGTTTTGGGAAGTTCTGGACCGATTCATTAGCAACAACTCTGTCGTAACCTGTTTTCGTCCGGACACGAATTTTTTTCTTGACAGGAAAAATAAAATGAATAAATAAATAATTTTGATTTAAAAAATATTTTGGGAGTCACCATTGACTTTTTTGGGTTAGGTAGATCAAATATCTAAAAACAATCTTTTAAAATAGTTTTTAAGAAAACATAATTTAAAAAATAAACTGATCTTGCGTATAACCAAAAATTTATTATTTTTAATAATAAAAAAGGGTTCGTGGTCGGTTACGTTTAGGGAAGGATTAGTACCTCTACTATGCCAAAAATTGATACTTATTAATTATAAGTTGTCTCTATTATTAGAAATTTAAAAAATTCAAAGATATATTTAATTTATAATATTGTTATTTCAAATTTATAATCTTATGAAAATATATTAATTTAAATATAAATAAGATATTTATTTATTTAGAAATATTAGAAAAGGGCTTCTAGGTGCTTTAAGACAGCTCTTTTCTTAATATTAAAAAATAAATAAGTATTAATAAAACATTTATCTAAAGATAATTAAAATATATATAGTTTATAAAAGTAAGATAAAATGTATATTTTTTTAAATATCAGAAAATGGACATCCAGTTACTTTAAGACTGTCCTTTCTTAATATTGAAAAATAAATAAATATTAAAATATAATTTTAAAAAAGTAATTTATGTAAAATTAAATTAGGTTTTAATATATATATAAAGTAAAAGTAAGTAAATAAGTATTATTTATTATATATATATTTATATGGCTATATTATAACAATAATATTTAAATATATAAACATGTAAAATTAAGACATAAATAAACAATAATAAAATTAGAACTATATATTTAAAAGCAATAAAACTTTATAATAAATGAAAATATTTAAAATTAGTGACTAAATTATAATCTAATAAAATTAAATACCTAATTCATAATTAATTATTTAAAATTATAGGGATTAAACATATTATTTTACCCATTTATCAATTTAGTGACTAAAATAAACATAATTAAAACAATATAATTTATATGTAAAATATTAAAATTTACAGTCTTAATTTTTAATTTAACCTTAATTATTTATATCTTGATTAAAATAAAATTTATTAAAAATTAAAAGGGGCTTAAATAAGTTATTTATCCTATATATATATATGAACTGATAATGACCAAATTATAAAATACATAAAATTAAAAGGTTGAATTAAAATGATCAAAAATTACTTTTAGTGACTAAATTACAAATTTACAAAAGTAGTGTTGCGAAAAGGGTTTTATCCTTATCAAATTATAGGCAAACCCCTCATCAAAACTACGTCGTTTTGGTGAGGGTATAAATACCCTTTAAATGGCCCTAAAGGTCAAATTCTTTTCATTTTTTTATTTTCTTCTCTCCCTCTAAAAGAGAGAAAAAAATTTCTCTCCCCCTTCTCTTTAGAGCCTACTGTCGAAGGGAGCTATGGCACCGGCCACCCCCGCCGGCCACCGAAAAATACAAAATCTTCTCAAAATATAGATCGGACCACTCTAAGACCGATTCCGACCCCCGTTCCCCCTAAAAAACCTTTAATTTACATAAATCTAAAAAATACCTTCGGGTATTTTGATTCTTTTCGCGGTGTAGGGAGGCTCCGACGAGGTAAGTTCCCTCTATCTCTTCTCTTCTTTTCGTTGTTGGTCGTCGTTGTTTGCTCTCGTTGCTTGCTCGTGGTTTTGGTGGTTGTTCCTTTTTTTTCTTTTGATTTTGCAGATTTGGTGGCTTTATAGCCACCACCAAGGCTCGCCATGGACCAATTAATAGGGCGATTTTTCGGTGAGTCATCAAACTATGGTGATGACTCACCCTATAGTTTCAACGTGGAAGGGCAGATGGCTTCTGGAAGCTGCTGGAAAGAGTGCTGTAGTAGAGCTGAAACGTGGAGGGGCTGCTGCAGTTGGAAGCTGCTGGAATTTACAACGTGAAGGGGCTGGTGCAGCTAAAAATTTAGTGTCTACAGAACAACTCGTTGCCGCTGTTATCGATACTGCTTTGAAATCGTACGCTTGTGAGGGTCGGCTACCTGTTCTTGGATCGGACCGACCTTACTGGCTTCCTCCTTTATTGCCCTGGTGTTGGATCAGATGGTAAGTCTGTTCAATACTTCAATTCTATCTGAATTATTAGTATTTTATCGAATATTGATTTTGGTCCTTCAGTTATTCTTTGTGGATTTAGTCCTATACTTTGATAATTCCGTCCTACAATTTTATACAATTTGATATTACTGATAGGTCGGTAGTTTAATTAATTTAAACTGTATAGGGACCTATTTATATCAAATGTCACTGAACTATAGTGAAATGATAATTTAACAGTGAATCTTTAGATGTTATTAAATATTATGAAATAGTTGTTAAATTTATCAAATTGTTATAAAATGATTATTAAATTTTATCGAGTTGTTATAAAATTTTCATTGAATTATAATGGGTTGTAATGATTATTTTATAATAGTTTGATAAATTTTAATAATTATTTTGTAACTTTTAAAAGTTCATTGACCAAAACAATAAACAATCATACTATCATTTGAATATAATTTACTGACCTATTGTATAATTTACCCATTATACATTTTAAATAAGATTACATGGACTAAATTCTAAATCTAAGCATATTCGAGAATGTGAACCATAATTTGACCTTATATCCAATCATAGCTATGGTGTTATTTATGATTTTGGTCTTTTGTTTTCTTTGTTAGAACATAGCCCACAGGAAACAATTGGGTTATTTACGGATTTGGTCCCTTGAAAATACATATATTATGAGAAAAACTGTTGGGTTACTTGTGATTTCTTGATTATTGCAGCATTAAGTCCATGGTAGACAATTGGATCAGTGGGGGAAAGGAAGTTCATGTTAAGCACGAAGCCAAAAATTGAGAAAATGGAAGGCAATAATGGAAGAAGGTCAAGTGAAGCAATTTCTGGGATTTGGAAAGCATGGATTCATAGATCCCTCACTCTTAAAATATCTTCCCATTAGTTCATTAATTGCTTGATGGAAACAAGCTCGTCCATTTGTATTTGTGACATATCACAAAACTCAAATCAAAATGTGAAAATCTCACATTTGAATTTGAATGTCATTTAGGTATGTCTATATACAATATTTATGTTATAACGATATTTTCATTTAAAGGAAACAAATTTTCCATTTTATTTTCGAGAAAATGACAAAAAAAAGTTACAAACAAATATTTTGACAATA